TCCGAGGGTCATGAATTTTTTCAAAAATGACCAAGTCCCTATTTACATAATATGAGTCGAAAATTCACCAAAATTTCCTCAAATGGTATTCGGAGCATAAATCAAGACTGTATTGTTTGTTTTGAGTGAGACATTTTTCTTGGAAAATTACATATTTTTCAGGTTTTTTGCCAATTTTGGGTTCAAAGATTCTATCTTTCTTTCTTTCTTTTTTCAGATTTCACTTGAAGGTTCAAGCAAATTTCTTCGAATGATCTCAGAAAGGTATTTTCTCAGCATTCTAGGTTGATTTGAGTAAAAAAATGTTTTTGAAAAAATGTCAAAATTTTTGAAATTTTTTGCAGGTCCGGGTGTCATGAATTTTGTCAAAAATGACCAAGTCCCTATTTACATTTATATGAGTCTAAAATTCACCGAAATTACCTGAAATGGTGTTCGGAGCGTAAATAAAGACTTTTTATGTTGTTTCAATGAAAAAATTTTTTTTTGAGAAATTCAAAATTTTTGGGATTTTTTCAGGTCCGGGGTCATGAATTTTTTCAAAAATGATTAAGTTTCTACTTTCATAATATGAGTCTAATATACACCGAAGTCACGAAAAATGGTGTTTGCAGCGTCAATAAAGCTTTTTTTGTTGCATCGATCAAAAAAGTTTTTTTGAGAAATTCAAAATTTTTGTAATTTTTTGCAGGTCCGGGGCCATGAATTTTTTCAAAAATGGCTACGTCCCTATTTTCATAATATGAGTCTAACATTCACCGAAATTACACGAAATGGTGTTCGGAGCGTAAATAAAGATTTTTTATGTTGTTTCCATGCAAAAAATTTTTTTTGAGAAATTCAAAATTTTTGAGATTTTTGCAGGTCGGGGGTCATGAATTTTTTCAAAAATGATTAAGTCCCTATTTTTATAATATGAGTCTAATATACACCAAAAATACCCGAAATGGTGCTCGGAGCATCATCAAAGGCTTTTTATGTTTTTCGATCAAAAAATTTTTCTTTGAGAAATTTAACATTTTTGAGATTTTTTGCAGGTCCTGGGTCTTGAATTTTTTCAAAAATAACAAAGTCCCTATTTTCATAACATGAGTCTTAAATGCATCGAAATTACTCAAAATGTTTTTCGGAGTGTAAATAAAGACTTTTTATGTTGTTTCGATGAAAAAAAAATTTTTTTGAGAAATTCAAAATTTTTGAGATTTTTTGCATGTCCGGGGCCATGAATTTTTTCAAAAAAGACTAAGTCCCTATTTTCATAATATGAGTCTAAAATTCACCTAAATTACCGAAAAAGGCGTTCGGAGCGTGAATAAAGACTTTTTATGTTGTTTCGATGAAAAGATTTTTTTCAGAAATTCAAAATTTTTGAGATTTTTTGCAGGTCCGGGGTCATGAATTTTTTCAAAAATGACCAAGTCTCTATTTACATAATATGAGTCGAAAATTCACCAAAATTACCCGAAATGGTGTTCGGAGCGTAAATAAAGACTTTTTATGTTGTTTCGATGAAAAAAAATTTTTTTGAGAAATTCACAATTTTTGAGATTTTTTACAGGTCCGGCGTCATGAATTTTTTCAAAAATGACCAAGTCCCTATTTTTATAATATGAGTCTAAAATTCACCAAAATTACCTGAAATGGTATTCGGAGCATAAATCAAGACTTAATTGTTTGTTTTGAGTGAGACATTTTTCTTGGAAAATTACATATTTTTTTAGGTTTTTTGCCAATTTTGGTTTCAAAGATTCTATCTTTCTTTCTTTCTTTTTTCAGATTTCACTTGAAGGTTCAAGCAAATTTCTTCGAATGATCTCAGAAAGGTATTTTCTCAGCATTCTAGGTTGACTCGAGTAAAAAGATGTTTTTGAAAAAATGTCAAAATGTTTGAGATTTTTTGCAGGTCCGGGGTCGTGAATTCTTTCAAAAAAGACTAAGTCCCTATTTTCATAATATGAGTCTAAATTTCCCAAACGTTACCCGAAATGATGTTCCGATGACTTTCTATGTTGTTTCGATGGAAAAAATTTTTTTTGAGAAATTCAAAATTTTTGAGATTTTTTGCAGGTCCAAGGGTCATGAATTTTTTCAAAAATGGCTACGTCCCTATTTTCATAATATGAGTCTAACATTCACCGAAATTACACGAAATGGTGTTCGGAGCGTAAATAAAGATTTTTTATGTTGTTTCCATGCAAAAAATTTTTTTTGAGAAATTCAAAATTTTTGAGATTTTTGCAGGTCGGGGGTCATGAATTTTTTCAAAAATGATTAAGTCCCTATTTTTATAATATGAGTCTAATATACACCAAAATTACCCGAAATGGTGCTCGGAGCATCATCAAAGGCTTTTTATGTTTTTCGATCAAAAAATTTTTCTTTGAGAAATTTAACATTTTTGAGATTTTTTGCAGGTCCTGGGTCTTGAATTTTTTCAAAAATAACAAAGTCCCTATTTTCATAACATGAGTCTTAAATGCATCGAAATTACTCAAAATGTTTTTCGGAGTGTAAATAAAGGCTTTTTATGTTTTTTTGAGAAAAAAATTTTTTTTGAGAAATTCAAAATTTTTGCAATTTTTTGCAGGTCCTGGGTCTTTAATTTTTTTCAAAAATAACCAAGTCCCTTTTTTCAAAACATGAGTCTAAAATACATCGAAATTACCCGAAATGGTTTTCGGAGTTTTAATAATGGCTTTTTATGTTGTTTTGATCAAATTTTTTTTTAGAGCAATTCAAAATTTTTGCAATTTTTTGCAGGTCCTGGGTCATGAATTTTTTCAAAAATGACTAAGTCCCTATTTTCATAACATGAGTCTAAAATACATCGAAATTACCCGAAATGGTGTTCGGAACGTAAATAAAGGCTTTTTATGTTGTTTCGATGAAAAAGATTTTTTTAGAGAAATTCAACATTTTTGAGATTTTTTGCAGGTTTGGGGTCACTGGAATGAAATAGATGGTGTTTTTATGTGCCCTGTCAAGGCAGTGCTCCTGAATCGGATGGTGAAGTTCTTTATTTGATTTTGTGAACTGTTTTGATGCTAGAAAGTTTCAAGCTTGCGATTCTGAAGAGTCTTTGTGCGAGAATCTGTGCGACTCTTTGCATTTTAAGATCAATTGAAAACCAAAAAATTTGCAAAGTCGAAGGAAGTAGTGCAGTACTTAAGCTCTGAATATTGCTAGTTATATAACTATAAGTCATATGCAAGTATGTTCTTGCAAAAGTATGGAGCCGATAAGAAAGAACGAGCCTTCTGCGTGCAGTTTGTGCGAGACTTTACCTTAGAATAAGAATAGCTCTATAACATAGTGTTATTCTTTTTAAGACTTCTTGTGACTGTAAACTTTCTGAAATTTGAGCCCTAGTGCTGAAGAGGGGGGAGGTCAGGGGGGTCATTGACCCGGGGGCCCATGACTTGATGAATGATCAATGAAGGGTCAATGATGGAGCTATAGTCAAGTTTTTCGGATGCAATAGTTGATGCTTCTTAGAAAAAGTGACTCCTCAGTGATCTTAGAAGATAGATCATCCTATTATGCTCCGTAGAATTTTGCAATTTTTTGCTAGGTGATCTTCCATCTACATTTTGTAAAATCGAAGAATACTGAACCACTCCCATATCTCGCCGAGTGACATGAATCGCCAAATACCTTTGCTGTAACACTATCAATAATTACAATGCCAACATTAATCTTAAAAACCAAAGGCCTTTTCCTAGTTCTCATTTCAAAATAGAGATAAACTTGACCGGTTTCTCTTGGTCTTCAGTTTTTTGGAACATCTAGCTCCTCGTCTAAACGAGCTTCTTCCAAGATCGAATCAACTAGTTTTTTACTGGTATGAAAGGTTGCATTCTCATGCTAGGTGTAAAGTTTTCCAAATTATTTGAATAGTGATCATTTTCTTGTTGCAGCATGTCCGTTTCGATCAAGTATAGTATTCAAACGTTTTTCACTTCCTAAGATTATTTAAATGTAAAGAACTGCATATTTCATAGTTAAGAAATATGCATGCATTATGACGATAGTATAACAGTAATATTTGAACTATATTGAGAAGTCTAGAGAATGAATAGCCACCATTGCAATTTCAGCAATCAAAATAGCTGCAATTTTAGTAACCATCGTCCCAAAAATTTTCCCCGGGCCCCTTAGAAGGGTCGCCTCCAGTGTGCCTTGCTTTTATCTTTCGTTTTGACCCGGGACCCAGAAATCCTTTCCACGACCCTGCTGAGCCCTTACAAATATGGTAAAAGTAAGGATTGATTTCTTTCACTTATATTGCACTTAAATTTATGAATTATTGTTAATATTGGAAATATAAGCCGTCATTCGCAAATTCCAAGCATTTACAGTTGCGGTGCTTGCTGCGGTGTTTTAGGTCTCGTCGAAATTCCAGAAAATTATTATTGATCTGTTTTAAAACGGATCCAACAACAATGTTTAGCCGCTCAATGCATAATTTCCTTAACATATTTGTACAAAGATGTGATTTTGTTGCTTTTTCTTTCTTCTTTTACATAAACTGCTATGAAATATCTAGGCCTTAGTCTAGAAAAAGCCGAAAATTGGTCATAATTCTAGGCTTGGATATTCTTTACATTATTTCAATATAGCAGCCAATTTTTATTTGATATAATTATTGATGTTTTGTTAGACTATTTCAAAACCACACTTGTTGCCTGCAATTATTCATCAGCACAATGCGTCTCTCCCCCATATCTTTAGGCCTATAAAATACTTTCGGGTACATTTTCACGACAAAGGTTACCAATTTTGCCTTATCGAGAAAAAAGAAATAAAATCTATATAATATTTCATTTTTCACAAATTCAATTTGACAAACAAAACATAAAGAAATTGCATTTTCCCACTCATGCCATTTAGGTTCTGATTTAGGTTCATATATATTTAAAATTTTCCTAATTTAAATAAAGATGAAGTTGCAAGCACATATTTTTCAACTTATAAAAACACGACAGCCTTCTGCTATATTCCCCCTGTAACTGCGTAAACTAACAGATCCATACTTTTTAAAATTATGTTTCAGAACCCCAAAGATTGTGATGTGTTGTTGATTTATATCTCCTCTAACTACCTGCATCAGAAAAGGCACTGAAATAGTTGTGAGCCACGAGAAAATCATTCATTAAAACAAGCAATTTTCCATACTGAACCCTATTCCAGCTCGCTTTTTGCAATAAAAAATTTGCCCCACTCAGCAGTACGCAGCATGACCCAAGTTAGACATCTAGCGCCTTTTGCGCTTCTATCAGCTGTGCTTTTTCATACCGAGGCCGTGGATTGTTGTATTGAACTGAATTGAAGGAGTTTAACGCTAGAGCCGGACGGAGAAGAAATAGTGTCCTTTTTTTTAACTATTGTTTCCCTTAGCTCTTGTATATGACATCGAAAAAAAACACACGTGAGTGGAAACAGAACTAAGATGTTTATCCCTGCTGCTGGTAAAGACACGAGTAGCTTTTTATGGCAAGATTTCGTGCTTGTACTCGTAAGAGGATTTCCACTATTTTTATAGTGACGTCTTTGATAATGTTCAAAATTGCAACTTTAAACCGCTTTGAGCAAATTATGAAGATTTGTAACATCCCGACTTTCAAAATTTCATGCAATTTATGTATTTTATTGGAATCATTTCTATCACATTGTGATTGTTTCAAAGCTAGTATAGACCGGGGGATACCTTTGGGTTGGGTCATTGAAGTTTAGTTGTTAACCTGTCAATCCAGTATAACTCAACTGTTCAAAGTAATTAGCCCCTGTACAATTTGATAAACAGCATGTAATCGAATGAATGTAAAATGACAGCTCTAACAGGAACAGACTCTGCAGAAGTCATTGATTCTGTCATTGTTCAGAGTCCTCTTGATTTTCTTTACTTAGTTGTTCTTCCAATGCAGGTTTTTTCGGATGGTCTTAAGATACTAACGTTGGACTAGGGGAGGTTGTATTGGAAAATCTTCAGAGGGTAGAATCTATGTCAATTAGGCCAGAGATATGCAGCGTAATATAGCTATCTTAACACTTCTGCAAAAAAATGCCATTATCTGCCTATGTAAGACCATTGAAACAGCTAATTAGAATTCTGGCAGGAAACTTGCCATGTTATTTTGTGACATGAAGTTGACAACCTCTCTGCATTGTAGGCACTGCTCTTAGACCATTTGCTGAAAGGGGCATAGCCACCCAAAAAGAAAATGTAATGATCATATTCTGACATAGATTTGGGCATATAATTTGATTTTGAATGTTAATTCGACATAGAAGGGGGGTGTTTCCAAGATCTTGGGGTTTGAGGAGGACATTTCATGATTGGAGGAAAATATCAGATAGCCATGTCTGAAGCAGTTTATTTGCAAGCATATGCAATGTATTCCCATGGGATGACATGAAATGTGTAGGCCACTTTTGACTGGTCAACTTCTACATCAGATTGATAGTTTTAGAAGTAAATATCAATTAAGTAACTTTTGCACTAACTAAGACTAATAAAGATTGACATTTGTGAGTCTAAAATGAGTGATGCAGTCACGAAATACCTTTTTAATCTGCTAAACAACGCCAAAAATTCACCTCTTTTTCTACCCTTAACTTTCCCAAATGTTTATTTATGCTAGAAGGAAATAAATTTAGACCTTTTAGAGAGTTATTTCCTCGCTTATAAAAAGAATTAAAAAAGGTTAATATTGAAAATGGAAATTTAACAGATCTCGGATGACTTTTTATGCTCTTTAATCACTCCAAATTCAATAAATATACAAAGAGTTAATGTTTTGTTTGTATGTCGTCCATGTGTAATTTTCATAATAGAGTAAATATAATTTTCTTGTAGTCCTTCACTGTTTTCATGAAAATGACCAAAGAGCTCTAAACCTTCTCTCATTTGCAAAATTTTTATCCCTATAGGTGATCATAACTCACAGCCTTACATGTAGAGTTTACATAACATTGTTTTAGTTGCCTAAAATACGAGGAAATGGCCAAGACTTTCTTGATCTACCTTTCAAAGACTTTTTAAGCTCACTTTTTACTCTAGACTTTAAATGGCTGTTAAACTGCATGCCATATCATAAATTCATATGACCATTTTTAAAGAAACAATAGACAATAATACCTCAATGGTCAAAAGAGCCTTGTAAGGTAAGCTAAGTAAAAGAGAACCTTGAAAATTACAATTGTGGTATATATCCATATTCACATTGAGACTTTTCTATAAAAGGTTGAAGAGAAATCCAGTGAAACTGAGTTGTGAGATGCTCAATTTTATGATTGCTATTATACATTTAAAACTGTTTAGAGGTTGAAGTGAAATTCCTGTATAGACTGAAAGATGCATAAGGTTTTTTCAATATAATGAGATTTTTGATATTTTCAATTCATGAAATTTTTTTAAAATTTGTTTTATTTTTTAGCCTGCTATTTCTATTGGTGGTGTTGGACAACTTGCAATTGATCTGCTTCTGTACAACATTCCAGACACTGAAAGAGTCGGGTATTTTCATGAAAACTGTTTTGTACCAGTAGTTGGACCAGACCCATTTGAAACAGAAAAAAGGCCAGCTCGGACCATTTGTACAAGTTGTGAAGGTACAGTTATTTAATAACTGGTATTCCTGTATGTTAAAAGAGATTTAAAATTTGTGAGATCTATTGTTTTATATGTCACTTTTTGTTAATGTTTCACATTCACACAGAATTTATGAAATAGAATTTGAAAGATGCCAGTTGTTGTGTCAAATAAAGCTTTATCCACTTAACCTTAATCCACATGTATCTGCATTGCATGATTCTGTGTGACTGAAATGTCATTGCCTTTTTCTAATATTGGAATTAATTAAAAATTTTCTAAAGCAAATTGAATTAGTCAATAGGCGACTTAAAAATATCTCATGGCAAGATGAAGATGTCCAGTTAAATAGTTTTCAAAAGCTCTGATTCGCAATGTCTCCATTGTATTTCATTAATACTTGTAAGTCATTGCTTTTTATGATCTTGAACAATGGTTTTCATTTCTCAATGAAAATGATAATAATTATAACAGTTGAATGCTTTATTAGGATAGGATGGTATATTAATAGTACATTTATCAGTACTAGATATACTGTTATCATTAGGGTCGTGATACTAAAGCATATATTTGATAATAAAAGATCTTACAAAAATATATTAAGATCCAGTCCAATCCAAAAATAAAGATAATAAAAATAGCAACACATTGTGAAATGATTTTCTAAAAATCATGTAAAAGAAGACTTGATTCAATTTTTCTGGCACTTAGTGGCAAGTCATTATATTTTGCCGACCAAATTCTGTTTTACTTGATGTTGGTCGCTTCTGGTATTTTTCCCATCAGCGAAACATTTTGGATTTTACAATTATTTTTTCTAATGATTTAAATGCAGATATATAAGCTTTCATTTTTAGTCTTTCAAAGTCAGTCAAAGAAGTTAGTAATCATACAACAAAGATCACCATTTATAAAGGTTTGATTTTGAGAAGAACTTCTACATGTATTCTTAGCATTTTTGTTGCGTATAATCGTTATTTTCAAAAATAGCATGCAGTTTTCAATTGTTCAAAATATAGGGAAATGGTAAGATTATGCATTCAGATGTGCTTAGCAAACTGCCAAAAAGTAAAACTATCCATGCCTGAATACTTTGTCTAAATACATCAGTCAAAACAACTTGTAAAACATTCAAAAATTATTCCTAAAAACAATTGATTATAAAGAATAACTTGGTATATTATTTGAAATTGTATGCCATGTTGCAAAAACCACTCTTTATAAAGTTGGGTGTATGGAAAAGCATTATGTAATTGGGGAAACTATGTCATTTTCTATGACTTAAATAATAATCACAATGATTTAAAAAACTGTTGACTTAACCTAAAGACTGATTTTTATTTTTAATCTGACTCTTCAAAAGTTAAAACAAATCTTTGGTGCCTAAATTGTAGGGTAGAATTCCTGCCTTCAGAAGACAGTTAGTGCAATGGATAGAAAAATTCAATTTCAAACACACTATCATTGTTGGAAGCTGCAGCTCCCATATCCAAGATGATGTGGATTTGACAGTGTAAGTGCATGCTATACACAGAACTAATCATATAAAATTAGGAAAAATAACTCTTCAAGTTTCTTTTGTTTCATACATTCTTTTTCTCTGGCTTGATAATACACCTTTTGGCTGCCAGCTCATAGGATACTCACTTATTCTTGATATTGTTCACCTTGATATGAATAATATCTTAATCTTGATTTGATATTACACTTTTGCGACATGTCAATATTGTTTAAAAATAAGCAAAAATCATTAATATTCTTACATTTACTATTTTCACCATCAAACCTTGATAAATTTTCCCACATATTCCAGTTAAAAAGTCATCTTTTAACTTTTATGAAACTTGCTATGGCCACTTGAATTTTAGTTCGATATAATTTTTTGCTGCGGTGCTGCCATTTCTGTTTCAGCCTGTGCAATACTTTTGCTCACTAAGTGTATATAACTGGCTGACCTAAGTTTTTTATGTTTTAATTGACTTGTTTTCATTTTTGAAGCTTTTTTGTAGGCCTACCCAGCAAATTATGTTTCTGGCCTCAAATAAAGACAATTTATTAGAAGAAGTGCTTATAGAGAAACTAAGTTGGACAGTATTTAGCCACAAAAAGCCATCACTGGGGGCTGAAGGTGAAATCATTTTTTCTGTTACAAATTATATCAAACCATTATTGTAAAATTGTAACTAGCTCATTTACTTATTTATGTTTGTTAATTTTAGTATTATTAATTGTTGTCAAAAGTCGTCAAAATTTTTGTTAATGTTATCTCACAATAGTTTGATGAGAAGAGGTTGCCTTTTTGTTTTTTATTGCCTTTATTTTACGCTCATTTGTACCAAACAATTAGCAAATTAACTGGAAGTTTACCCTGCTGCATAAATATGCACCAACTGCATGTATTTTATAGATGTCTTGAAGATAATAAAATAAGTTAGTACAACAAAGTAACATGTTTTAGTTGGTGATATTATCTATATGTATATATTTACTTTACGGTCTCTGCACTTTTTTAATTCATCTTTTTTTCAATGATTTTGAACCATTTTCTTTGTTCTTCCAGATCTTAAGAGTGAGATATTCATTCCTGGAGGCGGTATTGTCAAAACACTGTATGAAGACTGGTCAGTAGAATCACATCGTTTTGATGTTGTTTTGGTGGAGATAAGCTTTTCACCCTTCTCTGATTTATGACAGGGCCACTAAATTGACATTAGGGCCATAACCAAAGGATCTTAGAAAAATTGAGATAAAGTATATATAATACGTTACTTTTTTATATAATTATTCTTTATTTTTCTACTATTTTTTCAATTGCATAAATAACTTTGAATTATCATTAATTATTTCCAGTTGCAAAAATGGTCTTTCTTCAATTGCCTTACTGGTGTTCAGTAGCGATGGTAATGCAACAACTGATGCTGTTACTGTTGTCAATGGTTTTGATAGATTATTGCCATTTATATCATCTAAAGAGTCTTTTTCTCCAGGTAAGCTAAATAAGCACTCTTTTAAGTTGAAATCTAGATACTGAATCTGTTTGGTGCAACTAAGGTACTATAGAGTAGTTTCCACGTTACAGAAGGCTTAGTTAGTATTTTTCGTGTTTTCACACTCAATAAACATCTTTGTGATAAAAATAAAGATCTTCGGCATTTGTGATTGAAAAAAGAAAGAATGCAGTTTTGAGCCTGAGCTTTCCTAAGCTGTAGCACTGATAGAAAATTGCCTTTAATTAAAGACAGGAATGATTTGCTGCATTAAAAATTATTACTGTGAAATGGTTTTGAATAAATTTTGAATACTTGCTTTGCTTTGAAATAATTTTCTTGTAGGTTTTCTTATTAAGACAATTAAATGTTTTAAAGCTGTCTTGTAAGGAATTTATATTTTAATAAGAATCTACTTAAGGAAAGTCGCAGAGTTTTGTCAGCTTAAAACAGATCTAGATTAAATGATTAATTTAGTTTTTTAAATGCCAGTAAGCATAAACAATTGTTTTGGCGTCTCGAAACACATATGTATAAAAGCCTAGCGCTTTTATCACTATTAAGCCCAATCTCCAGTGAGAAAAAACTCAGCGAAATGCGAAAAAGTTCGCGCGAAAAACGTCTTAGGCATGCGCAGTGATCTTTTGCTGGGATTTCTCGCGAAGAATCTCTCTGCGAAAGAAAGTTAAAATGAGTTTAACTTTCTCGTTTTTCGCTTGCGAAATCCTTCAACAGCCAATCATATTCCGTATTTCTTTGTCACGCTTCGAAACTTTACATTCCAATGTCGTGAGGTCAACAAAAGCATTCAAAGGCATTTGTCGCGTGAAGTATTTCGCAGCGAAATTTCGCAAGACTTTTTTCACTTGAGATTGGGCTTTAAGTTCCATCTTGGTGTTATATTGTTGAGAACTGAATGTCTTGCTTAGGTTTCTGTATCAAATTTGATCAGTTTGATATTTGAAAAGGTAACAAGAGGGGGTGGGGGGGGGAGCATTTTAACCTTATCCGGCGAAAAAGCACTCGTAAAAATGTTGTTTTCTTTAAATTCCGTTCCGATGTTGCATATACCTTGGATACTTTGTACAACTCCCTGCCCAAGTTTTCCTTGTTACCTCATTTTTTCGGGGAGTGTCTGATTGCTAACATGGGTTATCCCTTTCAAAAGCAGCATTTTATTTTATTACCATTAATGCTTTCCTTTGCTAACACCATTTTATTACCATTAATGCTTTCCTGTATTCATGAAAGTGATTGTATTTTTTGTTTTTTATCATAGTGAGCTTTTCCCTGTTTAAACAATAATGTTCATGGAATTTTTTGCTTTTAAGGTTCATGGAAATTTCCTGATTCTTGGAGCAGGTTGCAGAATCTAACTGCTATTCCCAAGATATATTGACAGTGCTTCTACCAGTGGCATAAACCCTGACACCACTTGTTATTTAATGACGTCATGTACATTTAAAACATAGTTTGTCGTCAAGGATGAAGATGCAAATGCAAACCAAATAGTTTCATTGTTGGCTGTGACAAAGTGTTTTCAAATATCTAACGTTTCTACATTATTGATAGCGTACCGCTTGCACAACCTAATTCTTTCATCACAACAGTTTTGCATTTTCCTTACTGTTCTTGATGCCTAACATGCTGATAACATCTAATCCCTGTCTTAATTCTACACGTTTTTTCGAGTTTCTTTCTTTTCACAAGCAATTAATTTGAATAATGCATGTCCTTCCTCATACAAATTGCGTACATTTGCAAATTCTGTCTATCAGTTTGCAAAATTCTTGTTCAAAGTCACGTAAATCTCACCACAATTTCGAAATAGCTATATCTCTCAGTCTGAAATAGCTACCACGTCCTTCGCTTTACTGAATATTCAAAAATTTGCTTTTGTTCCAAGTGACCTCAAGTCCTGCTTATTTTCTTCGTTATTAGACTTATAGCCGCCCTTTCTGTCAGACAGGCTCTTCTAATCAGGCTGAAAGAAACATTTTGATGTGATATTTATAATATAAGTTATGGTATCTTTTATCATAAAAAATTCCAACTTGTTCTTGACTGACGAATATTTTGATTTGAAAGTAGTTTGTAGCTTTGTTAATTATGAAGAGAACCCCGGTAAATAATTAGTTGTCGAATAGGTGGCAGCTAAGCAATTTTCCGGAAAGGGTCGGCACATGCCATTTGCTCATTTGAGAACGCATAAAGTCGTTAGAAAACCAGAGTTCCTTGAGACATGCAAGATGTCGGTGTTACTTTCAAGATAATTCCCTTTTGTGGTGGTTCCAAATGAGAAACAACTTGTTTAGTTTAATTTGCAATGTATTTTAACGTGCAAGTTGTTATTTCCAACTAGAGTTCAAATAGACAAGAAAACTGGGTGACAATTACAACCAGTTTTTCGACTGCTTTCTAGGGTTGCTCAAAACTCCGCAGTATGATTTATTTTCGAAGATCAGGTACTGTTACTCCAAGGAAATAAGCAAGCATTCCGCATCTTTTTTAGGTTTCGAGTAACGAAAATATCATCAGAAATCGGTAAATGCGGTTGACATAACAGCCATTACTCTTAAAGGGTGTGCAAAATCTGGGCTTGGCTCGTTACCGTTTAAGAAAAGGAATAAAAAGTGTGACCAAGCTCGCTAAATTGACACTGGTAGTATTTTCACTGAAAATAGTTTTTAACCACTTGTCGATAAAATTCTTGCAAAATAAGGCAAATGTGATTTGTATGTAGTTAAATTAACGAAAACATGTATATTGCAACGGGATACTTGTTCCAACTTCCAAGAGGTCCCTTGCCATCAACTGAAACAACAGCTAAACCATAAATTTGATATAAGTTATCATCTGAAATGATACATTAAATGTCCCGAAATTATCTAGGAAAGTAACGTAAGTGTCATCAAGTGTATCCTTTGATACCTGGGCTCAGTGGCGGACTGGCTACCTTTCAACCCACCGGGAAAAGCAACAAAAAGGGCGCCAATAAGTGGTGGCGCTAGAAGTTCTCCGACGGAAGGGCTTGACCTTCCGACAGGGTGCTAGGCAATTGGAGAGAAATTATGGACGCACAAACATTACGATTATGACAGGACATACATTTAACAAACAATAAAGAGCAGCTACCTAGAGCGAGATTAATATTTTTACAGGGACTAGCTTTTATAACAAAATGTCCCTGAAAAGACAAAGGACATATATTGAGAAAGTTTTGTAGATTATTTTCCGTGATTTCTCTAAATTCTCAACGTTCTAAACTTTTCTGAGCAATAAAAAAGGACGTCATTTATTCATTAAACAGAATAGGAACAATTTTTACTTAGGTAGGTTAAGTCTTTGCTAGCTTGCAGATTATTGCTCGTGTCGCAATAAGTAAGTAAACAAATGTTACTTCCTGAGGCCGCACCATGGTTGCCGCCAAAGGTGAGAAAATTTTCGAATTTTAATGATTCCAGTTCGTTGGAAAATGCACTCATTGAATCAATTTTTTCTTCCTTTATAATACAACCTTACTCTTAGAATCATTGTTGGATGGTTTTTATCGACTTTCTGGAAATCATTCTCGTAATTCGTATACCCAAACCTGAAGCATTTTAAAGTGGAGTCAACACAGGGAATATGCACATATTACGTAATCAAAATTAGGCAATATGGAAAAATCTCCTTCTCCCTAAATTATTATTATTTTAACAAAATTTGAAAATTGGCCATAATAATGACCGTAAACGTTTATGTCAATCCAGCCATCTTTGAGTACAAAATATGTGAACGTTCCCATGTACAATCGCCAACACATCGATCATTTTATCCAACGCTAAATTAATTTTTCCAAAGTGTGAACCCCTTTCAGTTTTTCGATATCAGGCCCTCGAAATAATTCGCATTAGTCTAAAGTCAAAAAACTAATATGGTTAGGCATAAGTCATTATTCAACTGAATAGTAACAATAATAATATAATAATAACAATAAATAATTTGTTTAAAGTTGGCGTACTAAATGAACGTTTAATAGCTATAAAGAAGCTAATTAAGGCCAACTATCTATAAAGAATTGGTATAAAATGAATATATGGCACAATGTTAAAAATGTTTAAGGTATAATATTTTAAGTAAAACCTAACCCAGCAGTACATATTCTACACAATCTACAGTCGCATTCTCAAGGGTGTGATCTTAATTATTTTTTAAATGTTGCCAAAGATTGGGACTCTTTTATACTGTGAGGTGGTGTTTGCCTTAGTTTTTGACCTAAATATCTCACAGTTTCTATACCATAAGAAGTTGTCCTGGCTTTTGGAATGCAAAGATTATTTTTAGTTCGCAAATCATAATGTACATTTCTTGTTTCAATAATCTCACTCATGAAATTAGGGTTCAGGCTATGTTTGGTTTTGTATATTTCTATCATCAAGTACTGTCAACAATGCTTCGTAGTCAGCATGACTGTCTTTTTAAGCAATTCTGAGTGCTCTTTCGTGGATTTTATTCACTTTAGCATTCAGACATCTGTCATGGAACATCCAAATTAGGGGACAGTAGCTAAACTGAGCTTTTATGAAGCTGTTTATTAGAAGGCGCAGTTGATCAGAACCCATAAATGGCGATACTCTAGCAAAGGCATGCAGTTTTTGGCGTGCTTTTTTGCATAAATTTGAGACGTGACTTTTGAATTTAAGATTTTTATCTATTATCACTCCTAGCAGTTTTTCTTCAGAGCTTTCTTCAACAATGGCCTCGCCGTTTTGATCTTAATGTCATCTTGGTTTGTTCCAAAAGTAAGAAGATGACATTTCCCTGCATTCAATTTCATAAAGTTTTCTGGAAACCACTTTGATAAAACAAGAGCATCAGTTTCTAGCCGTTCTAAAACTTTATCCAATTGACAGTCAGCTGCGAAAATCGTAGTATCATCAGCAAAGTTACATACTGCAGTATCAGTTACCATTAAGAATAAATCATTTATGTATAAATTAGATAGAAGAGGCCCAAGGACTGATCCTTGTGGTAAACCTGCAAAGGTTTCTTGCCAAGTGCTGAATGAACCATTTAATTTTACCTTTTGTTTTCTACCGGACAGGTAATTATAAATCAATAGTTGAGCATCTTTACAAAAACCATAGGCATTTAATTTCGCAATTAATAGCTCATGGTATATGCAATCAAACGCTTTTGAGAGATCCATTAGCAAGGCATCAACCACCCCTTTTAGTTGGCAAATTATTCAGTTAGCAAAAGTAATTATTCAGTTGGCAAACATGGAATCACTGCAAGTATTGTGGACTTGCTTGAAAAAATTACAAGCGAACCAGGTTTGCAGTGAGTCTAGGCTATCTCGGTGCTGCTACAATTATGACACTGCTGTCAAAAAAACAAATATGTTCTTTTAAAGATTTCGCGAAACCATGGAGAATTTGCTGATCGCCTTCAATGCATTAAACAATAACGACGAATTGGGGAAATTTGCAATTAATCTTAATTCAACTCAATTCGCAAAGATTGTTTGCTTTTGAAAGTTTTCAAGTATTTTTTGAAAAATGCAACCTGGGACAGGGGTGCACCGGGAAATTTCCCGGTGTCCCGGTGGGCCAGTCCGCTTCTGTCGGCTTGCTTTGCTCAATGGATAAATTTCCAATGCTGATGGTTTGACAGGTGCAAATCTTACGATTTCGTTGGTGCTACGTCAAGTAGCTCGGCAAGGTTAGACTTGAGATTTGATTATCGCCGAAACCAAGATGGCGAATCATATGAAGAACTCGCGGAAGTTTTCTGCACTAGCCAGCACTGTAAATGTTTGTGAGAGATAGCTGAAGGTTGAGTGGCCCTCTAAACCGCGAAGCAGTCTCCACTTAAAGTTTCCTATTGTTAACAGAGGACAGAATCGTTGTAACTACTCCTTTCTCGATCCCGGCCTAAGTTTTTTGTGCGAGGAATCGAATATTTACCGAGATGACGAAATGTGCACAAAGCCCACACGACTTCTTCCGAGATGTATTTACACCATCAGTGGCAGTGCTCACGAGTGAAGATGTTGAGATTGTCTGCCAGAAGAACGAGTTGTCATTTGTGGACATGATACGACCATTCTGTCATCTGTCCAACGAAGGTTTGAATATCAATGTCATATAACCGTAGTAGCTGGCCAGACTGTCTGCTTTTAAGTCTGTTAGAAGAAGCTCTTTCCAAAAAGTTGATCTATATTTATAAGAAAAATTTTATAACTACCTATTTATAGAGGTATCAAAACGCAAACATTTACCCCATTTCACATTATACCCGATATTAGCAGTTTCAGTCAGTCAGTGTCAGTTGGGTTCAGCTTCGAAAAGGCTTTTATTTTGCACCTCTGCTTTTGAATGACCAGAGATTTAGCACTGATCGTCCAGCTATTGAAACTCCACTTACCAGAAAATTATGAAGTCTGGAACCAGAATAAGCAAAATTGAATTTTGAAGTGAGAAGTGAACTAGCAAATGAAATGCAAGATGTTCCTTACAAACCAATAAAGGGGAGCCATAAAATAAAGACAATTTCATATGAGAGCAATGATAGAGACATTCATTAGTCTTTCAAAACACATGGAGTTATGGAAGTTATCAGAAATTGAATGTATTATTCTTTTATCATAAGAATAGTTACTGCAAAAACGTTTTAGGGAGGCTTACCATGGATCTTACTCAAATATTATTCCTTCATCGGGACAGAACTGTCTGAACTGAGCCTTAAATGCAATGAATATTGTCTAACTAGGTCATTTGCCTGCACCTTTTATGAATCAAATATTTCATGAAATAAGGCTCATGATCCTTTAGCTATTGCTCAGAAAAAATTTCAGTATATGCATTTGTATCAGCATATAATTCTGAAAACCCATTTTACTTCTGGTATGGTTGCCATCTAGTATGAATAGCTTATCTTAGTGTGAAAGTTATATTCCACCTTTCGGAAACTGCATTAAAAGAGACTGAGGCCTGAAACAATTAACCAACTGTTAAGAGTTTTTAAAGCTTGATCAATTTCAGTTCAAAGACTTCGATCATACTTCTGTTAAGAAAAAACAGGCCAGCAAAAGTTATATATATATATATAGTGGTTTGTTACATTTCTCGTTTGCTGATCTTTTTTGTTTGCATCATTTTCTTGCTATCAAAATTAATTTATCTAACCATGTTTTTTTTAGTTCACATAAGAGACCCTGTCAACCCAAATGTTGTAATTCCTATAAGGAATTTTAAGCTGAAGGTCCAAAATCTTAATGTTCCATCACCACCAAGTCAACTTGTAAGCAAAGTTTTGAGCGAAGTTGTAGCCAAGTCTGTGACAAGTGTTGATTTGAAAACAACTCATTCATTGGAAACGCTTCAAAATGGTGAGTTCAATTTTATAGAATTGTCCAACAGTAAGAAGATAAAGTATCTTTTAGAACAAAAATGTATAAATTGAACAAACAGAAGCAGGTGTACAACAATTTCAAAATGCTTGTATATAAATGTTTTCTTCTACGTATAGAGAAGCTTATGAGAAACTTGAGTGAAATAGGTACCTCTGTTGCTATGAACCGTAACTGCTGCCTTTAAATGATTTTGAAGTGGCAGATCTGATTGTCTGATTGCCTGTTTTGACATTGAAAGTCTTGTCTACTCATTACCTTGCCATTCTATTGTGTACATACTCAACCCTATTTGACATTTAAAAAACACCTTTATCATCAGATCATTCTTTAAAGAATATTTTTCTGGGTATTCAAGGTATTTAGAAGTTCTAGGTATTTAGGAATTTTTATCTATTTCTGAATGTTTGACCAATGTCAAAAGAAAATACTTCCTTTGAAATTATTTCTAATGCAGTCACCAGGGGCTGTAATTAGCAATAATACTAATTTCATTTACCATTCTGTATGGAATAGCCTGCCAGACAGTATTGTAATGCAGGCAAATTCGGATACCTTTTACAACCTATGTCGGTATCACCTCAGTAAATTTTAATGTTGTAGTTGACTGGGCAGACATTTGTATGACCCAAAAGGGTCGTTAAATGTAAATGTAATGATGATGATGATGGTTCATAAAAGTTTTTTAAAGGTCTTTTTGTTCATGTTATATCTGTCAAATTTCATTTTGATTGGAATTTTTATTACCTGATTTTTTGTTCTGCAGTGAAAACTCCTTGGTTTGAGGCTTATCGAAGCTGCTTCTTTCAACTGCTCAAGCCAATGGACCATGAATTTATAAGGCACATTTTGGCCTGTATCTTTTCATGTTTTTTTATGATTGTGATGTAATTTATCAGAGTACAAAGAGATTATGTGCAAAATTAGGGCAACTTCCTATATAAATATCCATACTCAAAGTCGGTCTGATTTGTACCTAAGCATAAATTTTTGGGTATTGGGACATGTCTCTTTTCAATTTATATGCATATTTTGTAATGCAAAATTAATTTGTTTGATGAAGTCTTATTTCCCCTTATAACTAGCAAGCAATTATAATTAGTTTCATATTTCAAATTAGCTTACTCATCCATTAAGTTTACTTCAATGAAGCCCTGTATGCCAGGGCAAATTATTAGTTGAATATTTGATTTATCTTAAAATTCGATTTTTCAATATATTTTCATTCCTATGTTTCTTTCCTGTATATTACCTATAATTTGTTAGCCAGTGCTGTCAATTTTAATGGCGTTGCTTTGATAATTCATAAATACTCGTCTTCAAGTGTCATATCACTTGTCACAAGTTTAACTAATAATACCATTGATGCCAGAAAGATTTCAGTTATAAATTTCCTTGACCTATGATTAGGCATGATAGTTGTATCAACTCGTAATCCAGACCCCATGGGAGCATTTGTCTCCCTCAGTGCACAGCAGACAGCCATTCAGCAGTCAACAAGTGGTCACAACCCATATGTCAAATGGTTTAGTCCAAGTACCTTCAAGTATTATGTACTTGTTCATGATGTTTCAGAAGGGCATGAATTCAAGTATGTAGATCGTTTGTTACATTATTTGATAGTATTTGTAGTTTTCTTGGTATGTGGTAGTATTTTAATTTGTAGTCACAAATTTAACAAAACAAAAATCTTGAAATGTTACATCTGGTTTGTGCTTGTATATGGGTGTGAGACATGGAGTCTCTCATCTGTATTGGAAAATGTTTGCAGGCAACAGAATGGTGGTTTATAAGAAGAGGGCTGAAAATTTCGTAGACTGATAAAGTGTGTAATGAGAGAGTACTAAACGGGTGTCAAACTGTGACTGACCATCAAAACAGAAAAATGGCATTTTCAGGGCACATCTTGCGAAGAAAAGTTATGATAAGATATCACTAACTGGAAAATTAGAAGGTAAAAAAGCAGGAGGCAACTAGACAAAGATGTGTTTGAGCAACATCAATTTTCTCACATTCTTTCAACAATTTTCTCGTGTGGAAAGATAGTAGTGCTCTTATCAGCCTATCTAATACTGTATACATTTACTTTCTTTTTTTACCAGGGCAGATGCAGTGTTTCAGAGTATGAAGTCAGTCTATGGGTCACATACTTGCTTCTTGTTACAAATAAATTCAAAGCCAAAGGTGCTGCCAAATGCACCTGAACCTGAAAATGTTTCAGATCCATGGAGTCGTTTCCTTTACCCTTTTGACGATGAAACATTGGTGAGTTTAAAGGCTGATATGAACCCTTTTGGACCTACAAAGGAGTTGTTTTAATAACTATACGAAGTACCAGAAAATATAATAAAATACGGCTTCATTAGAATTGGCGCTAATGTTAGCAGAAGTTATGCAAGCAAAAAATAAAGTTTGACTCTAATCTATCTAGTTTTCAAGATTTTTTAACACAGCTACTGACTATGACTCTCATATTACAGTTTGCGTTTACTTGAGTGGAGCTCATTCCTTTTTAATTCGAGTTGTTATTGTGTTAAGTCAAGAGAGTCCGTTAATTGTTGATGGTTCCTTGTTTTTAGGACATTGGTGACGACAACGGCGATGATGATAGTCAACCTGACCAGCATTCTCGCCAGTCCAACAAAGGACCGCAAACGCAAGCTGAGGCTGACAAGGAAGAAGCAAGGATTCTTGAAAATTTTGAAAAGGCAGAAAAATTGGCTGAAGAGTCTAATTTTAGTCCCAGTTTGCGATTCCAAGATCCTTTAACAAGTATGCACTACAATGAGAATCTAGAAAATGATGAAATAAACGATTTAGGTCCCTTAAAACCAGGACCACCAGATCTTGTCAAGGATATACCTCAATACAAGCGAAGACTGAGTCAAGTGAAATTGAATGAGTATAAGAAAAGCATAAAACAGTTCTCGTTCGAGATGTTACCGGCAGCAACAAGAACTAAAGATTCAAAGAAGCGAGGAACGTTGTTAACACTGATGGACATTGAGAGGGTTAAAACGCTGGTATATGAATTTTGTGTTAGAGGCTTGCTTCTACATATCGAGAAGCTAATGAGAAACTTGAGTGAACAGGTATGTTATTTTTTCAGAGAAATAGATTTTATTTTTGTTGTATAAATTTGAAAGGTGTGTCAATTTCATCTCCAGCCCATACTTAAATTGCATTCAGTATAGGTTAAAGCATTTTTTGTTTCTGTAGCTGATGGCATCTTTTGTAAACTTCACTAGGCCATACTATTATGTTAGTGAAAAGATTTCACAGGAGTATTTCTGTTATAGGGCGAAATATTTCTGTTTACTGATATAAAGTTTAAATTGCTTATCGTTATTGCTGATGTTTGCAGCTCTCTCATACCTTCATAAAATCATACATAAAATCAATGTGATCTTTCGCCCTTTTTTTCTAAAAGCTTGTTCTAATCAACCTTGGCCGGTAGTGTGTTTTCAAGAAGTTTTTCACTTGTAGATTTTATCGCGGAAAGGACTGCATCGGTCAATTTTCAACGTCACTAAGAAGTGGTTTGGCGGCAGTAAAAGTACTGTTGCCGTTAGCAGTCAAGGGAGCAGCGCTGGTATTGGAATCAGGTACTGAAACAAAAAATTATTTTAACAGTGCCATTGTTGTTATAAAGACTTAGCCATTGTGGGATGAACACGGCCTATCTGTTGCACTGCAAGAAAAGCTCTCCACTGTTACCGATCCATAGTAATTTTTTGATGAATGATGACCATTCAGACTGCAATGCTCAGACTTGCTTTTGAATGATTTGAATGACCAGCGGGCAGACAGGGTTTCAGAGAGAAAAATATAAGAAAAATAAGCACACTGGGTTTTCCATCATGTATGTTACAAATTCTATCCGCTGTATTATGCAACCTCCATGTTCACATTTAAAACTAACCAATTCCCAGCTATTAAAAGAATTTCACGATTAAATATCTATTTTTTTCGGGAAGCTCTAAAGCTCTCTGTTCTGATGGTTTTCTGATTTGAGATTATTTGTGTAAGCTTTCTCTATACCCCGGTAACCTTTTTCCCCTTCTATGTTATCTGTTCCTGTTTATATTTGTGTCCCCTCTCCCCTTGCTTCTCATATATAAGCGTCAAAATCTTTGGATCATTGAATCTTGGGCCAACGATTGAACTCGCTTTTAGTATTCAATCATTTTATCCAATATTCAGTTATCCGGTGGATTCTGCCGAGTTACAGCAAAGAAAGCTTGGTGACCTGGCCTTTCTGGTTCAACATTACGAGCTGGCTTTTAACTCTTATCATGCTGCAAAACGAGAGTTTAACAATGACCATGCGTGGCTATACTTTGCCGGAGCCTTGGTAAATATCTAGTTCCTTTTTATTGTATAGGTTTATTTGCAAGCCCAGTATTTATAGCCCAGGTTTATTTGTAAGTCTTTGTCCAATAGAAGCATTCAAGTGTAAAGAGCAACTTAAATCCTAAATGATGCTAGAACGAGTAACAACGTGACCTCATCAAGTCTCGTTTATTTTTTCCCTATTTCAAGTTTATTGTTGTATGAAATGTAAAAGCTTCTTATGGCCTTAGGACTTAAACTCACTAATATGTATTTTGTTGCCGATAGGAAATGGCTGCCATTTCAGCATTCATGCAAGGACCTCAAAGGACATACCCTGTGCATTACTTCGAGGCCTGTATTTCAACCTATCTGAATACCTGCAGGTTGGTTTTTAATGCTTATACTGCTTGGTAGATTTTTTGTTTTGGGTTGTATATGCCGTATTATATCGTGTTGCCGCAGCTGACGGCTTTATCTGTATGTTGAACTGGATCCTGATAGATAGCCTTCAGGGAAATTTTTTCTTTACCTTCAGGAAATAATCTTCAGGGAAATTTCTATAAGGTTAAAAATGGCGTACGAAACCTATTGGATCTAGAAAGAATTTTTGCTCGATGCCAAGGCTCGACTTCTATTTTCCTTCCTGTTGCGCTTGAGCATTTTAGTTCATGGCCTCATGAGAAACGGCAATTCCTTACAGATTGGATTTTGTTACAACTCCAGAAATTCTGTAGTTTTATCTAAGCTCGTTCTTACATCCTATCAACGCTTTTGCAAAATTCCTAACTTTAAAATTCTTTAGAATTCTGCCTTTTTCGATCCACGAATTGCCTTTAAAATTCTAGGCTTTTATTAAGAGCACATATTTTAACTGGTTTTTTATATAGTTTGCTATAAGTATCGATTTCAACTGGTTTTATACAGTTTGCTATAAGTGGTTTATCTTTTTCAAAACGTAATGGTGCTACTTTGTTTAAAGTCTCTTTGAAAATTCAATCTATTTTCACTTCATCTCTAGCATTAATAAAATTCAATTCCTAGGCTACCAGAATACGCAACACGGGCGTGCCTCATGAGCACAGAGGTCTTCAAATACCGAAACATGTTTGCAGACGCTGCTTTCGAATTCATCAAGCTTACAAATGAGGTCTGTGATGTTAAATCTTTCCTGCTAGACGAAAAGCAAGCAGATATTTACTGAATCTAATGTCTTGTATTCGTTCTGCTCATTAAGTCGACCACGAATTAGATCTGAACCTTTTTACATTCAGCGAGAACATCCGTTTGCTTCTATGTTCTGAGAATTATAAATAATTCTGGTAGCTCTTAAAGCGAATCCAAAAAAAAAACAATCAGTTGTCAAGGTCTGATGAAGGTTCTGGCAGAGGCTTGGTCAGTTTGTGAACTTTTTTAGCTGTTTTCTGGTATTCAAGGGCCATAATACTGTTATATGGTACGAGCTATCCATAAGAATCTTTGGAAGCTTGAAAGCCAAACAAAGTGGAATTGCGAATGTCAGAATTTGTTACAAAAGTGTCACGTATAATTGAATGATTGCAAAGTGAACTTGTTTGTATTGTTTCAATTGGATTTATTTTTTTTCTTAATTTCTATCAGAGCTAGAAATTCTGTTAAAGAAACTGTTAACTATAGATTTTGTTATGAATTTCTGCTTAAGAAATAAATTCCAAAAAGAAATATTGTGAAAGAAATTACCGAGAATTTTTGCCGCGTGCAAAGACTAAACGAAGAGGTTTGTGTATTTACCATTGCATTGCATTGCAGGATTGTGACTTAAGAAGCGCGCTGTTACTTGAGCAAGCATCACACTGCTATCTGCATAACAGCCCACCAATGACGAGGAAATACGCGTTCAACATGATTCTGGCAGGACACCGATTCAGCAAATCTGTCCAGGTGATTTTAATTCAGCCTCATCGTTGTTAGCAGCTAGCTACTTCTTTAATTAAAACTGTTAGACAAATAAATTAATAAGAAAACAAAGAAACAAACAAGCAGAAAATTTTCATTTCATTAAATGAATGTCGAGATTGTAAAGTAGCGATTTGGCAACAACTTCTATGACAATGAAACACGTCGCCTAGCCAATAGGCACGTGAACGATCTTTCATTAGATGATTTCTAGTTCACAGAACATGCGTAGACAACCATGTTTTTCCTTATTACTTTATAGCTAGTTTGCAATTGTGACTTTTGCAAATTCTTATGTTTACCGTAAATCTTTAGTTTGCCCTCTTCTTTTCATAATTTCTCCCATCCAGTAGCATCTCAGACTAGTGAACCCCAGGGGGCAAATTTTAGAATTTAAGATAGCTTCTTTGTTGATATGAGAACTACTGTCTGGTTTCAAGCTACCAAAGTTGCTTCTTGTCCAAAACCCTCTCAATTCTCCTGGTGTTTTGAGTATCAAACGCGATACGTGATACGTGTGAATTGCACGTGTGAGATCGCTCAATGTGGCTTGATACCTTTAACAGTTATCCAAAATGATTTTTTTGCAGAGAAAGCATACATTAAGATGTTACACGAATGCATTGAATATATACAAAGACAAAGGCTGGCATTTTGCTGAGGTTGGTTGGCTTTGTGTTTCTTCCTCGAGAAATGCTACTTTATTTTTATAAAATCCCTCGATAATGTGAAATGTGTCTCCTTCAATAAGGCTTCATCTTTAAAATTATTACATTTTTGAAGAATCTCCCAAATTAAGGTTTCCTCAGCCACAAAATGTTTTAGAGCTTGCTTTTTTTAACCCACTTTCGCCGTGAATGTCCCTGCCGCCTACCACCGCCTTTTTCAATATTTCGCCGCAGAATCCTACAATAGCTTTATTAACTGCAGTGAATTGCGCTAAAGTGTACCCGTGCAGAGCAATTGCGTTCGTTTTTTGATGTTTTAATTTTTGAAAATGCATGATCGTATTGCTAAAGGACCACATGAACTTCATCATCGGAAGGCAATGTTTCAACCTGGGCCAGCTTGATGATTCCAAGACTGCACTGCGAAACTTGTTGATTTATGAGAGCTGTCAGCCAGCTCCGCACCAGGCGTCGCATCTCAGAGAATACTTAGCTGTTTTCAAGGCAAGTATCAATTTCCTCTTTTTCTTAAAAGTCAAATTTAATGAAAAATGAGTTTTGTTTCTAGAAAGTGCCAGTATCTAAAATTAAGTCTTGAATTCCGCTATTTTTCTTGTATATTTAGTCTAGAAATGTTAAGTTTAGTATCTCTAAGGTTTTTTTTTAAACCAATATTTAAGCCTTTGAGCTGCAATAATTGTAGAGAACCTTTTGTCTTCTTTCGCTATAGATTTTTTCGTTAGTTTATCATCAAGTATGCAACTTACACCCTAGTGGGCCAAATAAAGAATAACAAATTTGTTCGTAAACAGTTTAAACTGGAGTAAACAGAAGGATACAGCTGTAACCTGAAATATGTTTTATCGTTTAGCAATCAATGGAGAAAAAGAAAAACTCCCACGAATCAAAGAAGTCCGAGACATTACCTGTGCTTCCGCTGCCAAAAATCGATGGCCAGGCCACAAGGGTGATATTATCAGCAGAGAGTGCTGGGTCTGACATATCCTGTGATACACCAACGCTAGAAAATCCAGCAGTCGACCAAAACAGGACGAGAACAGTAGTTGCTGGGCATTACAGTTTCAGAAGGAACTATAACAAAAATTACATCCAGCGCTGGTCTAATGCAGAAAAACAAGCAATCGAGAAAATAACAGGCTCAAGTAGGTACCCTTGGAGACCAGCAATACCTTTCTTGAGCAATGCAACAGATAACAGCTACAGACCAGCTTGCATTGTTGGAGGTTAGTACGGTTTTATATTTTGGTGATAAAATGAGCCTTTTGTACTTCATATTTTAAAGACATTTATTTTATGCGATCTTGAAATACTTAAATGTCTTTTGCCTGTATGTACTGATATGATTAGCAAATAATTTATCCTGTCGAAGTTCCGTGTACTGCCTCAGTTCCTGAAAAGCGAGGGATAAACGTCATACTGTCGCATGATTGACACATGTTTTTAGCTAAAATCTTTATCTATAGCCAGTTTATTTTTCCACTTCTCTGGGTATTTTACTTTGCACGACATTCAGACGTTTTTTCCCAAGAGGGGTGTCAGATGAGGAAAGCTTGAGTACCACAACAGAATACCACAATAAACAGTCCCGAAGATTATTACTAGCAGAAAGCTCTTTTACCTTCAATTTTTTTGACATTCACGTACTTAGATGCTGAGGAACTAATACTCTAAGTTTAATGTTTACTGTCATGGTGCTTGGCTCTTACCAATTAATTTTTTGTCTATTTTCTAGAAATATGTTCTTTGGAAATAGTATTTGTCAATCCTCTGCGTATCCCGCTTAATTTACTGGGTCTTCACCTACTTTGGGAGTTTACTCCAGATGAGCCAGTCAGAAAAGAGGAAAGCAAGATTTCTAACCAGGTGAGATTTCTTACCTCTAATCCACTCAAAACCATATCTCTACAAAATGCAATACCAGTAAGCAAGCCTGATCAAATTTCTAGAATATATTCTAGAACTGTATGGAAGTTCACAAATAGTAATCAAAATGCCTTGTTTTGATTAATTGTACTATCCTTCCAACGAGACATGATATTGATTTTTTTCAGAAGATGAATCTAAAACAATGCTTAATTAATAAATAATTTGACAGAGTCGTGAATCTTTGTTATTTAGTTGATCTAGTCATGTTTGTTGCTGTAAAGCAATTCTGCTCGTTTCTGGTGCTTTTTAGATTGTCTTTCAGTGTCATTTAGAAAATCTTCGTCTATTGAATTTTATATAAATTTGATATTCGATTCTAAGAATAATGGTGTAGGCTTTTCACTTTAGATATGAGGGGATCATTATAAAGTGACTTAATTGTGTTTTTTTCCTAGTGCATGTTAAAGGATTTTTTATTTCAGCTCGCGGATTACCCAGAATACATATCTACTGACGTCATAGAAAATTTCATAGTAAAGGCACAAGAACGAAAATCTGTAAGTTGTGCACTGCTATCAAAATTGATATATTCTCATGAGACGAATACATTACTTTGGTAGCTTACTTCGTTTGAACTACTTTCTGGCGATATGGAAAATAAAGCTTCGATTTTATTCACAAATCGAGGAAAGGTATTTTATTATTATTTTTATAGCTGTGATTGACCGAGGCTTAAAAAACTGCTAATATTTTCGGTACAATGATTTCTAATCTCTCGTTTTTTTGTCAAGAATATGATCAAACCATAGCCCTATTATTAGCTTTGAGATATTGGATGCCTCTAGATTTTTTGATTACCTTGATTCAATAGCTTACGTAAAATTTTTCATTGCAATAGGTACCGTTGAATTTAAAATTTCATAAGACCGGGAGCCTGAAGGTGACTGGAGTAAAGTACGTGCTTAGCAGCATATCCGTGATTAACGCTGTTGATGATGAGGGGAAAATCGATTTGAATGGCGTTCAGGACTCAACATTGTTGACTTTTGGTGTAAAAGGACAGCAAATGCTAGAGGTGAAAGGACCACGACTAAACAGTACCAAGAAAGAAAAGACCAGTGTTACTTATGGAAACGATTACAGGTTGAATCCAAGAATTCTCCCTTCAGTCCCCAAACTTCAGGTATTCCTGATTTTTCCCTTTCATTGATAGCCTTAGCCTTAGCCTCCGTTTGTGGATCATGGACAGATTTATGAAAACCAGCTACTAAACATATATAGTATGCATAACCCCCCTTACATCATACAAAAGTAAGGCGTATGTCTTTAATACTTGAGAAATAAACATTGAACTATTAGATATGGATAGATAAATCTCAATGTTGTATAAATGAAAAATTTTAATCCTTCATTTTTATGTTTTTCTGGATTTTATGAATAAATTTGATCCTACAAAGATCCGTGCCCTTTTCTTTAATAGAGGAGGTTTGCATACAAGAAATATAGTTTTACTCAAGAATACAAGAATAAACTAGGATAAACTTGGTTCTTGATGACATGATCCCGTTGTTTTTTGGCTGTTTTTTGGTCTTATCGTTGTTGTGTTCTACAGATCATTATGTAATTTGTTTAATCAGTTGATATTAAAAGATTCTTTGATTTGGTTTCTAGGCATGGATGGTTAATTTTCCCGTCACGCTCCTTTGCGGAGAAGTGCGCCTAACGCAGTTTGTTTTCAAAAACTCAGGCAAGACTCCGTTAAAAAATCTTTACATATCATGCAATAAACCTGAAAGTTTTTCGGTGGACATGCAACTAATGTCTGAAGACTTGAAGTCAAAAGACAATATTTACAAAACTGTTGATGGCAATTCTATGAAACATTCTGCAGCTGAAATATTGTCTCCAGGGACTGCTGAGCAGGTAATCAAAGTACCATTGGAAGATGAAGTTTTGCTACCAAATGCAGAGATAATTGTCCCGGTTTGGATTCATGGTACATCGACCCCCGGTGTTCATGAATTGGATTTTCTCTTCTACTATGAGCCTGTCAACCCGGTTCCGGGGGTCCCGTATCGCGTGACTCAGCAGACTATTCGTCTACAGACATTGGCAACCTTGAACCTTTCTGCTGCTGTTAAAAAATCGTCTGCAAGCTTTTTTAAAGGAGTCCAAGAAGAAACGAGCATTGATGGGTGAGTTGTTTGTACCTACATGAGAAATGAGTTTACGTAAGGTTGTCAAAGCATAACTGGAAATCCAAAATCATTCCTCCATGGTTTTGTTTTGTGTAATTCTTATCAATCGGTTTTCCATTTAGTCAATGCTCCTTTAACATACTTTACAAATCTAAAAGCAAAAGATTATTACTAAATCCTTTTATGATTGGAATAAAGTTAAGGAGAACTGTAATTAGGGCTTATTCGAACAGGTTTAGGTATGAACCAGGCGTTAGATAATTTCTTTCGTGTTATAGGACGATTACTTAATGATGCTATCGTATCGAATTTTTTGCCCCTGCGTGAAGGTTTTGTTTAAGATATTTCTTGATTTCACTAGGTGTCGCAAATCAATTTATTGGCTTGTAATCAACGCTATGAATTTATCATAAGCGGTTAAGAAAACTTGTTCACTGTTTCCTTGATAAAATATGGCAATTTTATATATAAATATTTATATTTTATATCGTTCTCCCCGATCGATTTGAAGTTCTTATTCTCAACTGACAATGTAACCTTTTTTCCATCTGCAGGCCTTCTGATCAAACTTTTATTGGATTGCATGTTGAAAACAGAGCACAGGTTTTTAATCATTTTTCTCTTTATCGCAGAATTATTAAATGATGCTTTTCGTCTATTTCGGAAATCATGTTTGACAGCTTCTCCTGATTTTCAAATGATCAACAAACATTTTATGAAGTGATGTAGACGAATTTTGATGATAAACGTATTTTGCGATCGCTGTTTTAGTTTATCGAAATGCAATTACAGTCAAAATTCAATATGATGCATTGCGACCTTACACAAAGACGCTGCCTTGCAAAAATCGAATGAAACCTTTTCATAAAAATGAAGCTTTAGAGCTGATCTAACTTGATTTCATGGTAACCACAGACTTCTTTGTTGCTTTTAGGGCTCTGCATTTCCACGCTGTGTAGAATTCACTGTTCTTCAAGTATCTTGCTTCAGCAAACGTGTGAAGTTCATGAATGTTGGTAAAGGGTCAACGAGTAAGTAATTTTTGTTATCACTTTAGTATCCTCTGTTTGATTTGTAGTATAAGGTCTCTTTTCATCAGAGCTCAAACCGCTTATTAGATTTAAACGATTTACCAACCCTCAGCTCCAATCTCCGCAAATAAATCCCCATTGATGAGATTGTCATCGTAAGAGAAATTACAGTATTTTTCCCCTAAGATTGCGACAAGTGATTCCCATTTGTATTGTTTTTCAGATGTTTCCTACCATACCCTTTCAAGCCCTTCCCCTCTCCGTTTTTAGTAAAGGTTGAAAATTTTGTATCCGGTCACTTTAACAAATAATTTCTGGGGACCACTAAATGTGTTTATTTCAACTTATCCAAGTATTGTTGACAGTGCTCGTAATGATGAAAAATCGAATGTAAATCGTAACATATGCATTGATATATTTGCACTTTCATGTGATCTGTTTATAAACTCCACTCAACAGGAAGCTTTTTATTAGCAAAGGACGCTCTGTTCATGAAATTTGAAACATAGAAAGAACATCTTAATATCTTATTGCTCATTCTGCATCTTCTGCTCATTTTTGGTGATTTCTCCATTGCGTTTTAAAACATACAAGCGACAGGTTCATATAGAACAAACAGCATTGCTTTGATCTTCCAATTTCATGTGAAAAATTGTGCTTGCTTCCTTTCTTCTGGCACAAAGTTGATATTGCAAACATACGATTTATCTTTGAGCCTGTTGATTAAGCCAATTCATTTGTCGATAGGTTCTCGGGAGATTGCTCGGTAACTTTTTAGCCCTTTTTTGCTCAAGAATTTACGTTTAATTTTAAGACTGACTTATGGTTCCTAGTTCTTGGCTAGAAATCAGCCCTTTACTCGTTTCAACTTTTATTGCCAGCTTATCAAAAACTGCGTCCAGGAGAGGCCTTGTTGATGTATTTGAAAGCCTATGAAGATTCAAAACGAGATTCAGGTAATGCTGTTGTTTAGTAAAGGTGCTGCCTTCAGTTTTGTTAATGCTTAGAAAATGCTTTAGTAAATGCTATACCGCAAGTCCTCCAATAATTTTTAATTTTTCAATTTATTTCATTGAGAAAATTATGTCGTTTTTATGTCGACCTTTGAGAAAAATACTAAACTTTAAAATAAGCCCCCCCCCCTCGAATAAGCCCCCTCCCTCGAATAAGCTTCCACCCAAAAAATTATTTTCGCAAATAGGCCCCCGAGGGGCTTATTCGAGGATTTACGGTATGTATGATCAAAAAAAGAAAATCCGATGTATGAAATAAAGTTCCAGGTGTTATTATTTTTAAAGAAAATATTTGTTTAGAATTATTAGGAATGATAGTAAATGACACTAAGATAGAGAACAGCCTCCTCGATCTTGTAGGTCTAAAAACACAGTAAAAACTAGTTACGGTGCCATCGAACAACACTTTATAGACACCCCAAATGGTGCAAAACTCTATAATGACGACAGGTTTCCGATAATTGGCAGAGCCCGGTTGTCTTTTCATCAAGCAGTTTTGGGATCGCTCTACATACAAACGACAAAAGGAGTTCGTTTTCTCTCTTGGACTCCAGTGGTAAGTTTTCTTTAGGCACGCGGCACTGATTTGTCAACTTTACGGGTTATGTGCTTGCTTTTTTCTGATTGACCTATTTCGTTCCACAACTGGGTATATATTTTCCATCGTGTTCTTTCGGACCCTTATTCCGACGTTTTATACTCTAAGGAGTGTCAGACGAAAAAGCTGTTAGTAGTTTTTTGTGAAATGTTTGCTTTTTTCAAAGCCATTTTCAAACGACACTAAGTTACCTATAATTAACCAGGTGGATATTATATGATATTGTACATTAATTACATCAAGCATATATTAACAACTTTATTCTGCTGCTGATGCTTCAGTAACTGGTAGATATGTACTTTTTTACATATTTAGATGTTTTATGTTATTAAATTTTGTTGTTGTTGTTGGTGGTGTTGGTGTTGTTGTTGGTGTTGTTATCGTGTTATTGTTGTTATTGTAGCTACTGTTGTTATTGTAGCTACTGTTGTTACTATTTAGCGGCCCAGGCTAGATAATTGTCTGCTTTTCCTGTGTTTTTTAGCTCCCTGTTTTTATTAATATTGTTAGTGGTCTACTAATTAATATGACGCTGACGACGATGATGTGTTGTTTGAGGATTTCAATATAATTAGCTGGCTCAGCCATGCCATGAATGAAAGCAATGAACAGCAAGTAGTGCTCGTCCGAATGTTGAAGACTTTGCATTACCAGGCTCTTCAGTATTCTTATATAATATATTTCAGTCGAGATGTAGTTTGCCAATATTGAGGTTTTATTCTTTCATTTTGTAGATGATTTTGATCAGAACTCACCAGTTGTCTCTCATATTCCATTCACAAATCGGATGGTGAGTTGGCAACAATTTTAAACTTTCTTAGATCCTATTTTACAGAACAGTTAACACCAAGGTGATTTGGGCCAAACCATATGCGTGAACAGGGGAAATAATAATGTATAATTTACCATTTGAATTTAGGTCATACCGCTGTGAATGAAATTAGAAATTTTGTGGCACTATAACTCCAACTTGCAGAACTTACTTCTAATAAATCTATATGCATTTAGAGATATCCACCGAATACCCGCAGACTTCAGACGAATACATACCTACTCGTTTAGAATTAAATAATATATATTTCTTCTAAATTTCTTCAAAGATGATCAACATTTTCTCAGGAAAGTCAGTAAATGAAAGCTAAGCTGATCAGTTCTCTAGCCTTCAAGTATTTTTGCCTATCCAATTCTATCACAATTTAAACATACAGCTACCCAGTAGCAATTATTTCCAAAGGATTTGATGTTGCAGTCCATAAACTAATAACGAAAGTAGCCTTCATCCATTACAAAAAATTGTCTGCGGGAAAAGTAGCCCTAATCCATTTACCAGGAGGGGTTTGGTAAAAAAAGTGGCCCTATCTATTTTAAAAAGGAGCCTTGTAGCACTAAAGCTAAGTAGGCATCCACTAATGAATTTTTTTGCATCTTTGGGAGCCAGAGGTAGCCACGTGTTCATTCAGTAAAGTCAAGTAACTTTGTTAAGAGTCAAGGAGTTCTTTCTTGAAGTATGCTGGTCAAAACAACAGCTCTTTAAGTTATAAAAAGTGATATTTTACAAGATCAAATTCGATTTTATTTTTTGTAGGCAATTATTACTCAAATGCATTGTTAAATAAAAAAAATAATCATTCGAGATGAAAGTGCCAAGTATCACAAGTGTTTTTCATAGCAGATCATTTCATTGATTAATCAGGCGACTGTTCTGGCGGTTTCCTACTTTTCTTTGTTTTTTTTATAATCCGACCTCTTTTCTGTGTTATAATAGTCTTGTAAATTGTAATTTCTGTGTTACAAGTTCGACTCTTTCACACAGATTGATGGAGCAAAATCCCCAGCCATCGATTTCTTTAACCGAGCTCCTTCAGCTGCAAATATCTTGGATGCTCAGTTACCAGCAGCTGCTAGGATTGGGATCGCAATCTTTTGGCAGGTCAGTTCTTATCTTCATTGTAGCTTCAATGGTATTAGAGTTAACAGTAGAGATTAGCAGGAGTAAGCGCTTTAGTTTTAAATCACGAGAAGGTTCTGAAATCACGAGATCCAAACATTCAAAATGCCATATGACCTCCAGAGCATGATGCACCGTAAATATATAGCAGATTGGATTGAAAAACACTGATTTTCCAAGATTCGAAATTATAACCCCGTAAAACAAAAGTGGGTAAAACGCTACCTGGCTGGAAATATCAGCCCATGGATTAATTAAACCCGTTATTTTAGCAGGAGCTTACTTTTTGCTTGAAGGGGCTTAAGCCTTACATTTAACGACAGATACTAAGGGGGTGGAGCCATCTTTCGATCAAAAATTGGCCAATCAGTGAGTGTGATTCCACTTGTGCACTCATTGATTGGTACAAATTGACTGGCAGATTGCTTAAGCCTCTTTTATATTTGTCGATTGGCTTTAAGCAAAACTGAGGTTTCTGCGTGCACTGCTAATAGCAACAATGTAATAGGTTTAGACAAAAGCACATAATTGGTGCAGTATGAGCTTGAACGATTAAGAAGGGATAATAACTTATATAGTTAAGCGTTAAGAGATTATTAGAGATTATATAGTATATAGTATATAGAGAGTATATATAGAGAGTATATAGTTATTAGAGATATTCTTTGAAGGTTTTTATGAAGATTTGTCCTATGTGAACAAATTGTTTGCGCAGCAAGCCAAATGACTCGCGTGGGCCTACGAATTTCCTCATTTCAAAGCTAGCTCGTAATATTTTCTTTATTTCTAGTTAATAGGTAACTGTTATGACTAATCTATTTTGTAAAAGGAGCAACCACCCGAACAGTTTTTCCCCATGTGAAAGTACATGCGTAAAATTGTGTGATGAAAGATTGGGCATGTTTGTTAGTCCATTGTATTCATGTAGTATTTGTTGTTCATGAAAGTAAACCTGTATTTTGAAAGATGATTCAAGACCATCTATCCTTTGCTTACTAGAACAAGTGTATGTTTATGTTCTGTTCTGTCAAAGTTTACGCTGTTACTCCAGTCCTTATTTTTGCTTTTCTATGTTTTAGACTTCATATATTGACGACGCATGCGTGCGCCATACCATTTATGGTCAAACTCATACTGGTGTTTACAATGCCGTGGAGTCGCCGAATACATTTGTGAGCTATCTGTTATTCTTTACATGAAGTCAATTAACTGGCTGAAAGGCTCTTACGCAACCGGCATGCTTTGCGAATATTTTCAATACCGACCTAATTATGTGCTGTATGAAAATACAAAAGACAGCCCGCGCGTAAAAATACAGCTGCCGCAAAGCATTCTGGCTGCGCAAGAGCCTCTAATTTTTTTTACCCAGATTTGTGCCAGTGTTTGTCGTGAGAAAAGAATAAGACATCTTGATGTTCAGTAAGAGATTTATGAATGTAAAAACATCCTGATTTGCATTTCATTTGCACCCTTTCTATAATTTTAATCATAATAATGACAGGTTTGCGATCTGATATTCTAGCTTTCAAGAGTCTATAAAAGGCTAATGCAATCGTCATTTGACGTCGTGTTTCTATCTTCAAGGAAATTTATCACTGTATACAATTATCGCCTTGCAGAAGTCACTTGGCAAGATTTAGTTTCTTTAATCGATTCTTTCGGTTCTTTTCTCATCTGACTTTATCGAAAACTTTGTATAGGACCCAAGGCTGGCACTACATTCAACTTTCCAATCGGCTGATTATGACATCGTCGACAGCAAAAGGGGCTTGGACCAAAGAAATCTGTCTGCAGTGAATGTTACAAATCAGATAAAAGTTACCTTGCAACATGATTCATCGGTCATGCACAATTTTGATGCAGAAAGGTAATGACATTCAGCTCTATTGACTTATCATCAAAAAAAGACGTCCCTATGGCTTGGCGACAAAACATGCAGTTTTAGCTAGATGCTTTGAAAAAACGTTTTGAGAGACGTTTTCAATTTAACATCCAGCAATTTTTCGCTGATACAAAGCTACAAATATATGTCATTGTTTTCATTTTGGTCGTTCGTGAATGAGAAATTTTCAGATTTTTCTTGAGAATATTCATCTCTTGTTTACTTGTCTTTCTTTTTCAGCTGAACGTATACAGGTGTTTCTAAATGTTATCATAAAAAATAGCCATAATTCATATGTTTTCCCTGCTATTTAATTCTCCTAGAATAAAGAACGTTATCATTTTGTAGCATGATAAAAATTACTTTATCATTTCTGCTATTTAAAACAAGCTGGCGATGCCAAAATCGGCAACAGCTTGCTCAAAGCAAGCCATTTAAGTTAAGGATAAAACATAACTTGTGTTTTGCTTACGCAACTGATTGACTTTTCTTTCCTCTCTCAAAGTATCTGTAGAGTGCCTGTTTGCGTCACAATATACAATACACATGAAAAAGAGGTCATGGTTTTTGTTACGCCGAGGAATACTAATGAAGGAAGGTAAGCATTTTGAATTGAATTTTCGTTGGTAAACCAAACCTTTTCAGAAAATTTGTGACAAAAAAATGTAGAAGGCTTTAATGAACAACTCAATTATATTCCGATCTCTTATCTTGTTAAATCTCCCGCATTAAAGAAAACCGAAAAGTTGATTTCTTCCTGCCTTTTCACAGACCAACTTTTCTTAACCTTTTAACTATTAACTGCAACTGCTAATCATTGAAAGCTGTTTTGGCTGACCATGAGAATGCAAGACATTTCTCTGAGATTATTTGTCCTCGAGTCTAAAATGTGATTTCACAATGTTGTCAAGCTTTCTGGAATAGGTAGCTAGATTGAGGTGTACAGAATAAACATGTAGATATTTCTTTGGCATCTACCAATAACAGACACCTTCAAACCATTTTAAACAATAACAGACACCCCAAAACTATTTAAGCAGTAAGTATTTTTTTCAATATTTCTTTCGTAAGCTCAAGGCCTTATCAGTAGCATCTACACAACTCTTAACCTTCCCAAAACGGATACCAGCTCTGGTCCAAGGCCACAGGTACTCTATATATATAGTGTTTAGCCGTGGATCCTTCATTTCAAGAGCATGATACATTTTTGTTGTTTTTAATCAGTAATAAAGCTTCGGATGGCGACGTCCAGTCAAATAATTCTTGGCGGCACTCAGCTATTATCGAGCCACAGTTTAACCGAAGGTATCCCTCGCATTTCACAACTATAAGTGCGTGGGTTGGAAAAACTGCTCAGAGACTCAAGTTGCAGCCATTCGCCAAACAAAGCTGCATCTTCGACGCCGTCACGACTAGCCCTGGAGTTTATGACTTGAATGCTTTCCAAGTTATCATTATTGATAATAAGCATGACATTGTTGTCAAAAAGACTGACGATGAATCGGTCGTACATATCACTGATTCGTCAAATTCATTGAGTGATTCGTTTTCACTTTCAGATAACCAATAGAATATTATTTGAATAGTAAATCTCATTTTTGTAGTTCTTGTAGACATACATAGAAATATATATATAATCGATCCACATTTAACTTGCTACAATTTCTGAACACACTTATTGCCCTTCAAAGATGAAAATTTTGAATCCTAAATTCTTAAAGCGTGTTGAATGAAAGGCTCACTCTTTTTCCAAGGCTAGAAAAGTTAAAGGAACCTCTTTGGTTGCTCTATGTAGAAGTTGGTGGAGCTCTAAATAGCCAATCGTTCTTTTGCTAATGCCATTAATTCTGAGTATTTTTTTCCTTTTGGACAAGAGCTTCCTAGTTCTTGTGCATGCATTCGAAGGGCTCATTTTTAAGATGAGCACAGCAAAGCACTGACAATTCTGCTATTCCGCTTCTTATATTGCCAAGGTAAAAATCCAGACCAAAAACGTTCCAACATAAGACCTACGTGGCTTCTTGACTTCACAGAGGACTTCGTGTGCGATAAATTATTCTTCAGTTTCTTTTCTTGTCTGTTTTCACCTTATTGGATATTATTTCATTCAAGTGATTAATAACATATTTTCTCATTTTAAGTTTCACTGTTAAACAACAAAACAAGAATCTGTTTTTGAACTGTTTTCTATTTTCAAAGTAAACTTTAAGTCAGAGACTTTTTAGCAACTTTTCAGTTCGGTTTAGTTTTTTCTTTGGTTTCTGAGTGAAATCTTACGAAAGAAGGCCTCTAAAATTGTTTATAGTTGACACGTTATTTGTGCCCATAGTTAGTAAGGATCTGGGATCCAACTATCCCTGGACATAAAGTGTAGAGCTTTTCGTCCCCTCTCTCCCTAGTTCAGTGTTGATATTTCTGCTACAAAGTTCGTATGTCAGAGTTTTCAATACGGAAATGGTTACATCTTGGATTTTACATCTAGCCTTTCCAGCATTTTTTATAGGCTTTTGTCTATAACTGCTGTGATCAGGACTGTAGCTATATCGGCATTTCTGTACTGAACAGAAATTGCAACGAAATTCTTATTGTTTTCAAGGTAACCGTAATGTAATGTTCTTAAGAATCTACAATTTCTTAAATAGTCGATTACAGCTCTTTTCCAGTTTCTTTCTTGATATTTCGATTGCATCAATCTCTTGTCATTTTTTCGTGGTATGATTTGTGTTTTGATAGTATTTTTCTGTATTTCTGCAGTGAAAATAGTGATCTCTTAGTTTTATTCTTGTTAGAATTAGAAAATTCTGCTTTGATTTCATTTTAACTTGAGTAGTGTTTAGGAATTTTTGAATTTGTGAAAAGTATTTGACAAAACAATAAGAAAGTAGAAACTAATGCAACTTGGTATTGTGTCACTGAAGGGGACAGCTAAAAGATCCAGAGACAGGTACTGGTATTTGAAATGTATCGGATTCTTCACTTTTAATGAACGTAATAAGCGATGAGCAATAACTGGTGATTTGCTTAATTAAATTGGCAGCATTCTTCTATTACAAATTTGGACGTTTGTTCTACTGACTTGTGGTCAGCTGCTACTGATTTGGTGATTCCCTAGCCGCCGGTAACCTCGAAATCCTCATCGCTTACTACCACATATTCTTTTTCTCTGTATGTCAGTAAATTGGTTTCTCTTTCATGTTTTACTTTCAGAAACATTTTTCCTAACACTGTCTTTAGTGGCTCAACCTCGCCAGAATTTGAAATGACGTCAAAATACTCTAGATTTGTACCTTTATCGAGGCGATGGAAGTACTTTGGCGGTATGCCTTGCTTTACTTTATCTTCAAACTCGTGTTCTGAATCTTTAAGCATCACTTCTGTGCTGGGTAGAACTGCTTGTCCATCAAAAACATTGGAAATCCACCTTGCTTGCATCGAGAATAACTGGAACGGACAAACTATACTCGGCACACCTACAAATGCCATTGATGGGTATCTTACGTTGAAAATTTGTTTATATAGATGGCATATTCTGTTTTCTTTTATTTCGATGCCACACTTTGCATCAAGAAAGGGCATGTCATATAGGTATCCCGTACAGAAGACAATTGCGTCAACCTTGCAAATATTACCGTCTGCCAACACCACATTCCCGTTAGTATCTATACGTCTCATTGCTGGCTGCTCGCTTACATTTCGTGGAAGGTCGCACTGTCCAGCCTCATTTCTATGACTTAAAACTACACTGTCAGCGACTTGTGATATCTCTACTGCTATGTCTCTAGCCGAAGCGCTGCCACCAAGAACTAACACTCGCTTATCCTTGTACCTGTCAGGGACCCGATACAGATGGCTGTGTAGGAGAGAGCCCTTGAAATTCTCTATCCCTTGTATATCTGGAATGTCTGCTTTGGCAAAATGACTAAAACGAAAAATTCTTTTTCAAACAAAGAGCATCAAAAAATGACTCGATAGTTCTTAATTAATAACCTCCTAAATTATTTTCGTCGCGTTCAAAAATTTCTTGCTCACGGTGTTTTACTTTCTATGATTTTGTAGTTTTCTTATAATCTCGTGCTTTGCAAATCTCAACAAATTACGTTAGCTTCCCTAGCATTTGAGAGCATGTTGGAGCTGCAAGTAAAACTACTTCTGTCGTGGTTTAGCCATATGGCTTAGCCTCGTGAGACGATCATTTCAGAAATTTGCCAGTCGGCTTGAGGAGGCTGATACTTTGGAATAGATAGCAGTAAATACCTGTTACTTAATTTTGATTTTTGTTTGAAATGATTGTTAAACCACCTCTTGCACTACACTTCATCATAAGCTTATAGGTGTAGTTCGAGTATGGGAAAAGGTCTCAAATTTATAATTGATTTTGGACGAAATGGTTGGGTATGTTTTGTTATAGTCTCGTTCCTTATCTTGGCTTTGAGATTGAAAACATACCCATTGCATATGACAACAGAGTCGTATGCATCTTCAGAAACAGAATTATCGTCTACAGCAGTGACCTTCCATTTAATTTTGTCTCCATCGCCAACCGGAGTTATGTTTGATACTTTGTTGTTAAACTTTATATGATCTTTCACGGCAAACTCATCAGCATAGTTATTGATGTACTCCAATATATCATAATGCCTTACAAAAGACTTCTTGTCCTCGGCAAAAGGGAAATCTGGGTATTCCATCAGCTGCTTTGGTAAGTTTGTACTGTAAAGAGGAATAAGAAATTACATCCTGTTCTAAATTTTCTTGTGCGCGACGATGGAGGAAGTATAATATTCTGTGCTAGAATGATTTCATCATTAGCAACTCGCGCATGCGCTACGCGCAGCTATTTTCAATAATTAAAACGTCTCTTGATACCACGCACAGTTGTGATTGTTGGGTACCTTGTAGGTACCTTGAAACAATAAAAAGTTGTCGTCTACTTTCGATATTTAGATAAGATAGCTTACCCATTTATAATATATACAGCTTAGTAGTTGTCTTCTGCCTATCAAAAATCGTAGGCTACTTCTACCTTGATAGGGATTAAATAAAGTTAGTGTTCCACAACAGTCAGCTCTAGTGCCACTGTTTTTTGCACTTTCGTTGATAATATTTCTGTTGAATGAGACTTACCTCTGTAATTTGGCCCAGTTTACAAAACGTAACTTGTGAATTAAGGTGGAGAGGTGTAAAGTTATTCCGACACTAGAGATGTTCCCTTGGAACCAAGCAGATGGTTCAGTTTTTTCAATTCAATGAAAGAAATGCAAGATTCTAGAGCTTGGCAAAAAAAATGCAAAATTTCGGTTAGTTTGGATTGCAATGTATTAAGAGCATAAATTTTATTTCCTTCAATCGACCAAATTTGAATTTCTGGTTCTGCAAATTCATAATTTGTGAAATACTAATTTCTCTTAATTTAGAAACAACTGGATTTTGAAAATCCTGTGAAATCGAAATTTCGTAGAAATCTACCAATATGCTTGGTAGGCTGGCATTAAAATGTACATACAAGGGGTAAAAATACACTTTCGTGATCCAGATACAGCATGTGAATGGAAGCAAATTCTAGAAAGAGATTTCACGAGCATTTTAAAACAATAAAAAAAAATATTTCTCACGCTTTGCAGCTGCAAAATTTCTCCTCAGCAAGTTTCTGCTGAAAATTATATGTTGAATTTACAAAAAAACCTCAATGTTAAATTTTGTTTAGAAAGGATGATAATGAATTTTGCCGAAGCTTTAAGAAACTGGAGTACTCAATGTCGACCCCTGGACCCTGCTTCTTATAAAATATAGTGTAACGGTTCAGAAGCTGGCCACCAGACCTGAAAAAAAACCTAAGAGCACTATGGGATAATTTTCTGTTTTGAATAGAGTGTGCTTTCTAGATGGGCTGGTTCTAGAAGTGAGAATGCGGGAAGGGGATATCTTAGCAAGGGAAACAACAGTTGAACCTATGATATGGTATTAAATCAAATGTCAAAATATAAAGCTGCATCTGTAACATGACTCATTTGAATCCAGTGCAAACGAGATTTTTCGTCTCAAATGATGGTATTTTTTTATCTCCAGAATAACCAAGAACAAAATGGTGAACAATGTGTCTAGACATTGTAATTAATCCTTGGTGAACTCAAAACAACAGTTATAATTTTGTGGACTGTCTCTCCCCAGCAATATCTCAAGCAGATTTTAAAAACATTCAACTACTTTTGCACAACTTGAGGTGTTGCTAGGCCCCCCTCACAGCTAATTTATTTTGTTTGATAAATTTTATATTGTGGATATGAGTTTATTCTAGATATGCCTGCTTTGGGGGACATCCTAAATTCACAGTTGCGCGACAGGATATACGTTTTGCCCCCTCCTACCCTCGATACCAGACTCACTCTATGCAAAATAGGTGACTCACTCTATACAAACTCTCTCTTATTTAATATAAAGTGCGAGTCTGTTACCCAGGGTAGCCTCCTCCTTGTTGAGCCTCCTCCCTGGTAAGCCTCCACCCTGTGGAAGGGATTGTTTGTGATTGTCACTTGTCTCCTTGCCGATAAGAGAAACGTGATTATCAAATCGAAAGCTAAGAAGCGTGTGCACGACGCGACGACTTGAGTTTTTTCCGCGGGACTGCCAATGTTTGCCGTCGAATATTTTATCCATGAGCAAACGCAGATTTTTTCAATCATAACTAGATTTAAATTTACCGACAAAGTCTCAGATTTGCCGACAAATCTATACCTGGAGGGGGGGGGGACACTGATTCGATGACATGTTAGGCGTAAACGCGCACCCATGTTTTCGAGGAGAACTTAAGGACAATGGTTAATTAAAGTCTTTCTTCGTGGTTTTGCCGTTGAGTGATTGGTGAAAGGCATAGTGAAACGTGAAACGACTCCAGCCATAGGTTCAAAATTCAAAAACCACGATAAAAACATTGTTTTTCTTTAATCCACGATAAAAACATTGAATTTTTAATGAGTCTTGACCAATGGAAAATTCCTAATATGGTTTTGCAATCAGTAAATTTGGCTTATTTGCAAACCATAACATCGCATCGAGGACATGTTAAACACTGTCTGCTTTTTAAACAAAGTTACAGTACGTTGTATTGTATTTGAAATTTTCTACAGCTACAAGAAATTTATATAGAAATGAGTATGACTTGTTCAAGAAAACACCCAAGTTCCCTATGGGAAATCCATGTTGGTAAAATCAAGTATTTGGAGAAAAATGTCTCAGAGATCTCTTCTGAAAGTTTACCAAGATAAAACCCCAAAATTCAATGGCTGGTAGATTATTTCACCCAAATATTACATCAGATTACTAAGGATGAAAATATGAAGAGGCAGCAAGATCTATAATGGATCTATTTTTACAACTAGATCATGTTACAGTAAGATCTATTTTTACAACTTTTCAAGACACGGGTTATGGAATGGAGAAATTTAAAAAAGCTGCACACTGTAAAATAGAAATATGAGTCTCATTAAAGATAAAGGTGACCAAAAGGGATGTTGGATTAAGAAGGCTCACAGCGACGGGGGGAGGGCAGGGATGTCAGGACCTTAAGGAATGCTTACGTTGACAAAGAAGCCAACCTGCTATACCCCCAAACCTCGCCCTTCGTCATTATTTTTCTAAGGGAAGCTCCTTAGAGCTTTGTGTATTGTCCAGAGGGGAAGGTGTGCACTTTTCTCGACACTAGGAGTACATTCAAGCCGGACAGGTGTTATGATTTCGTTTTGCTAGCTATTATATTTAAAAAGACATAAAGGCTCTACTTAGTTAAAAAATAATTTTTTCTTCGGTCAACCCTTTGTGCTGCGAACATATGTGTGCACGTTGTTTCATAGTGCTTCTTGTTCCACAAGCAAGGTGAAAGACTTACATACCAGGTGCTTATAAAGCCAACTTTTGATTATGACAAGATCAAGTAAGTCGTTAAGTCAATGAGAATTATTTGGAGGAACTAGGCCCCGCATCAAGGGGATGGAAGATTTGATAGACAGTTTTCTTGCTGTAAAATTTTGTTTTATGTTGTTTAGCATTTTCCTAGGTGTACTTTCTTGATATTCATAATATAACATTCATCCATAATATGCTTATAATATAAATTTTCATCAAAAGGTGTCGATTTTGGAAAATGCATTTTAATAATATATCTGTTACTATATCTAAAACATCTTTATGCATTTCTCAAGACGAAATAAGCTCAAATCATCTAAAAGAGAAAAATTGTAGAACAGCGTTGGCAAAAATAATATTTTTGGAAGAAATGTTATATCCGTTCAACTTTACATCCACGATGAAGATCTAAATCTTTTTTTCTAAACTGCTTATATGGAAAGCCGAGATGTCTAATTAACATCGGATACAAAGCGAGGTTTGGCAAACACGCTCTATTCAAATCAGCGTTCATTGAAGGTTTAAAATCATTTTATCCTACATGCGTCTGTGTCAAAGATATCCGACTGCAGACACTTCTACCCAAACCAATAGCTGGCCCTGACAATTGTCTTGCAACGGGGACGGCAGACGCTGGAGGGGGGGGGGGTGTGAAAGAAATTCATTGTGGTTAATAGCTTGAATCTAATGAACAAGCAATGAAAAACAATACAAATATTAAGGATTGAAGTTACTGTTTTTCATGTCCCGGCCCCGTTCCAACCTGTACATGAACGGCGTTGAGTACAAGGGTAGGGCTAGTTTGCCTCAAAGCATAAAAGCCTGTACAGCATACTTCATATTTTAGAAACCTTGTTGCCAAAAACCAAGGATAAAACAAGTTCAAATTAAATGGAAATGTATTTTGCTTATTGCTTCGGTTCTGCTTAGAAGCTTTTTTAATCCGCCATATAATCGAGCTGCTTGCAGATCTTAGAACCTGGCTTAAATGTTTTTAATTTGCGCTTTGAGGCGATCATCCGAGAATGAAAGGGCAGCGAAGCGGGTAAGCAGTGTTGCAAATAAGCGCTGGTGTAGTCAATGAGGTGTATAGAATACGTATTCTATTCACCTCATTGGTTAAAGTGCAACAGATTAACAACAACAACCTCACATTAACATGGTAGATTTTGGTTCTGTCATGAAATTTAGAATTGGGTATTAGAATTTTTAGGATTAGGAATATAGAGTCTGAAAACACATTATAAATATCAGCACGTATAAAACAGTCAAATCTATAAAAATTTGATGTTTCTCGTTTGCAATTAGTGGCAGGCATCACGCAGCCATTGGGCTAGCAGGGGCTATAGCCCCTCCCCCCTCCACTTTTTTGCAATAATAGGCTACAAATTTTTTGGAAGGTTTACTCATACGCATCTTTGCATAGTTTACTCCTATGTAGTAGCAGTTCTTCTTGACTGGGAACCTTTTTTTGTTCATTTTCTAGGTTGTTTAATGGTATAATGTATTTTCTAGCTTGGTTAGCTAGGTATTTTGTTCCTCTCAAGCTAATTTTTAATTGTAGAGCAGATCAGGGCTTATTTTAATGTGGTTTTTCCCACATTTTGTGGTTTTGGAAATCCAAAATGTGGTCTTGGCAATTCAAAATTGTGGAATGGGTTTTTTCATTTTAGCTATATTTTTGTTATAAACATGTTTTTCTGTTGATATAGTTTTGAAACTTTACAACATAACAGAACAGTACAAAACATCCATGAATCGTAGCGCAAGTTCCTTGGTCAAGATTAATCTGGTCCAAGGGAAAAATGTTACAGCCAATCGATGTAAAATGACTTCAAATCAGAGCTTGTAAAAGATCCCTGAATCTAGCGACAATAACAACAATGGCGCCCAAACTGCCACCAAGCGTGAAAATGCACTACAAACTTCGAAATGCTGCAAGCGAAAAAATCTCAAGGTAAAATAAGTCTATGATTTTTTCAATATGCAAGGGTCGTTTTAGCTTTTCATCGTGTGCATTTTAGAATTTTCTCAAGTTTTCAAATTTCTTGGCTCAACGTGTCCTTCAATATTAAAATAAGTATGAATTATAGAGCTTCTAACAATGTTAACCTTTAACTACTGTTACTGTCGGAGTCCATAAAGAATAGGTTATAATAGAAACATATTTGTAATCGTGTTATGTTGAATATTTTTGTTTTACACAAATAAAGAAAAACGCTCTCTACGACAACGGTCGATATTTTGAAATTCCATGCTTCATATGCAGCCCTCTGGAAAATTTCCATAAAATGAGCCCTGGAGCAGATACTAATTTCTGAATTGTAACTCTGTAAAAATATGTAACCTTAATAATATAACTATGTTGGATAAAATGATAAGGTGGACCACGGTTGGTACGGACCGACAAATCCATAATTGATGAGAAGGCCTTGGTTGCCAAAAAAACCAGAGGATTCACAGTTTCATAATAGACATTATAACCACAAGATTCCAAAAGGTAAAGAAACCAGACCTTTTGATATTACCTGTAGTGGAAACCTTCTTAAAGCTGTTATTTCCCTGCAAATTTAGATATTATATTCCCAATATTATCTTTCAACTTGAACTTTTTCATTTTTCTGAACCAAGTTCACGCGGTTTTAAATCTCACTAAACTCGTGGTTCAAGATACTGTAAGTATCCTACAAACAATTGTTTCCGACAATGAAAATAAATATACTGCAAATATTGGTAAAGATTACATTTTATAAGCTTGATTTTAAAAAGAGAGCTCTGATTTGAAAGGGAAACCATTTTGCCAGACGACTGTATTGTTATAACCCAGCAAAATAATGTAGAAAAGTAAATTACCGAAGATTTCGATACATGCTTGAATGGATTTCTGAGGAAGTCTTGAGCTCTTTGAAGCCGCTGCTTCCATACTTGGGATTTGGTATATTATCATCATATATCCAAGTTCCTCCAATTTTTTTTGCCTGCTCATAAATAACAAAATTCGTTATTTTGCTGTTACTGCGAAGATATCTTCCCATGCATATGCCAGCGGCACCTGCTCCGACAATAGCTACTCTCTTCATTTCTGCCACAGTTTCAATTGCTTAGCTTCTTGACTTAATAGCAAGTACTGCAAAAGGGATTGTCGCCAGCAGGTTCTTTTTTCTGGCCTCTTGTTTTAGAAAGACCTTAAATGGCCTGTTGGTTTCTTTGTCGAACAATCGGCTTTTCAATTCTTTATACCCATAATTCATTGCTTTCTATTCTCGTTTAGCCACTGATTTAAAATCATCCGATACCGTACAGATGCAGTTGTGAACATGACATTTTGGGTTTGACATTGGATGTTAATGACGTGAATATGAATCTGTAAAACTGAAATTCAATATCACACCTCGAAAAAGTATCTATAGAAACTAGATCCACAGCTCCTCAGCCTTTAGTACAAAAATCGAAAACATTTGAATTAATCGAGGACTGTATCTATTAATATGCTCATCGTTGAAAATAGGCCTACATTTTCTACCATGTGCAAGAGCATGTGATCAAAGCATTGTATTGTCCAAAGGGCGTTACAGACTGGCGTGCTGCCAACCTAACACAATAAATTTCTCAATGCTTACCCTAGCCGCTCCGCCACAGTATCTAGAAGAAAGCATTTTTATTTGCCTACAAATTAAGCATTGCGTAAAATTGTTGAACAGAATTATCAAAACTAATAATAATGACAAATTTTAATGTGCACTAGTGTAATGAGGAGAGGCAACAAAAAGTGCAGTACATTGATTCTAAAAAAGTTTCGGATGGTAAAACTTTTTAACATTTTTTTGGTACAGAAGTGCTGTTGTTTAGAATTTTTATCCTCGGAAGTTTTTTTTCTTGCTTTCTTCAAAGTTATGGTTCTCCCATTTATAATTGTTCCTGCTAGTATCATTTGACATTAATTCCCTGTAACCTTGCATATCCTGGTGACGTCAATTGTCTGGGGAGACAAAAACTGATAACGTTATCTTTTACGCGATATAAACAGTCGGTTTTTGTTCATACTTTCTGAACACACTTTGTTCATATCAGCAAACTTGAATCCTATATTTGGTAATTTATATGGAGAAGAAAAATATACTCAAAACGAAGTAACCAAGGGTAAATTTAATTTCCTACGAACGATGGCCGAAAGGCCGGAATCTCAAGATTCTCTAGTGGAAAGATTTGCACAGGAAAAGTTTTCAGAATACTGTTGAGAATTAAGTTCAGGTCGATTTTGTAGAATCGTGAATGAGTGACCATTGTTTTATAATGCTGATCAAATGAAATTTAATTTCACAAGTAGGTTCTTAATTTACTTGAATTGTATTATTCACATTTTGGGCGTTAAGAAGGTTCATGCTTTTATTCTTGTATTTCTATATTTAGAGTTTTATGTGGGTTAGATGGAGGGACTTGCAGTGATGAACCAACAGCCCAACGTTGCTTCCTGTGATGAGGGAATGTAGCCTCAAAACCTGCTTTGACGAGGGATGTGGCAATGTCTTCTGAGGTAACCTATTTTATTCAATTTCAGGAATATCAATTGTTCGTGTTTTTTTCTTCAAAAAAGGTGTTAAACTCTTTTAAGTCTGTACTATAAGTTAAGCTTACCTTGACTCAAACTTTTTCTTCATGATGAATGCTGTTTTTCGGGCAAATGTGCAATGCGTGATAAATCGATACATATTTTTAGATCGATTTCATATCTAGTAAGGACCAGGCTAAGTTAGGCAAAGAGAGTCTGTATTAAGTAGAGTATTGTATTGTACAGATTTAAGTGTTAGATTTTTACAAGAGTGAACGTACACTTGTTCAGACTAATATAAATTAACTTTAGGTATTGTGTAAGACATTATTTACTGCAGAAAGAACAGGCTGACTCAGGGACGAGGGAGAAAGCTAAGGGGGGAGGGAGGGAGATAGCTAGGGGGGCTATAGGCCCCCTCTAATAATTTCCAAAATGATCTAAGAACCATGCTTTGCGGTCCTTTTGGTGCCCTTTTTTATTAGAAACCAAATTTTAATCAAATTCTTAAATCGCGTAGTATTTTGGGCTGTCTTCAATGATTCTGGGAGTGAATTCTAGATTTGGGCCGTTGAAAATTTAATGATCTGACACCGTTGTTGGTTATTCTGGCTTTTAGAATGTCAAGAGGGTTGTGATTCGAGAGTTGTGACCTTTTATTTTGTGTGCAAAATAGTCATTCATAACTTAGACTTTAACTTTAACTTGGAAGCACGTTTAAAAAATTCAAAACGTAAGAAATTTAAGTTTCTTATAAAAAAGTGCGTGCAGTCCAGTAGGCTAGTCGTAGCGCCCTCTCGTTAATTTTTCTCTAACTTATCCTGGCTTCCTTTGCCACATAACATCCTTATTAATGGAAAAATTGTTGAAATCTGTAGATAAAATGGGCAAGAATCAAAAGATAAAATTGTTGGTTGAAGTTTATTATCGTTTCTCATCAAATATACATGGTAATGTTTTCCCTTTTGTTCTGGAAAGCCACGCAGCTAGATAAGCAAGGCCTCGAGAGAGTTAATAAGTAGCATGCTTATAATTCATTGTTAACATATTCATGATTTTTGGCAATTAATCATTAACGTCAGTTTCAAGATTTTGCAGGCTTTTTATATAAACCAAGTTCGTGTAATCAATAAATAAATTACATATGTGCAAAGAAGAGTAAAACTGAACATCATTTATAGGATTTAGAAAAAGAAGAGATCCTAGCACGTTTCCTTGCGGGAGAACATATTTTTTTCTGCGAGCCTATGAATTTTTTAAAAACTCTTATTCAAAGTGTTTATGCCATTACCCTCCAGCACTCGCATTCGCATGGTTTCCTGCACTGACTCCGATAACCTGGGCTTTATGATATAAATGCGATTTGAACAATATTAGCGCGGATCTGATGCCATAATATTATTGTTTTTCAGTCTTCTCTTTGTGTTAGAGAACACAGATATCTAAAATTAGAATAGGGATGCCTCTGTGCACGTAACAGTATGCAGCTTAAAGCGGCTGAATTCATTGTTAACTGGAAACAACTGAATTCATTTTCTATTACTAAATCGTTACTTAGAGGCTCTTAGCGATGTCTTCGAACGAAAGAAACCCACTGTCTTCTTTGCTGCTCGTTCTTTGGGAAGATGTGCATCGATACCCCTGGCGTGTAACTATTATTCATACAGCTGGTATCGTTTGGTGCCCCAGCAACACAATATCTTCCTTTCCCGCCTCTAAATTTCTTCTTGGTTACCTCCATGTTCGCGATTTTCTTGTATACTAACTATGTGTTAGTGCCTGTGTGTTCTTATGTATAAATCACATTACGTCACACATTCCTCAAATTCCTCTTTGGCCGCGCATTTTTTTTCGCACAAAGCGTCACGCAACTCGACACTTTAGAGCTTAAAATAACATTGTTATAGAAACAATATGCAGGAAATGATTACACCATTCGATTCAGCAGCTTTTATTTGATCATTCTCATTAGAAAACACACATTGTCAAAATTCTCACGAAAGTAGTTCAGTGGCACTTTAATGGATTTTCGACTGACTTAAAAGGGTTTCCCGGGGTAACCTTTGACGGAGTTAACAAAGAAAAGCCTCGCCATATACAGCAAATCACTTAAAATTTATAGCATGAAAGAATATATGTTGTAATATTTCCGATCTGATGTAATATATTTTTCCATTAGATATCTTCTCATCAATTTTGAACGGCCCTATTTTACATCCTACGAGCATCCAGTTTCAAAAAAGTTTGTTCCCTGTAATTCTGAAGGAAGATACTCCTGCTCAACATATCCAGAATAGTCCGGGTTATACTTGTAGCCTTTGGCATATCCCAATTCCTTCATTAGTTTCGTCGGCGCATTACGCAGGTGCAATGGTACACCTGGCAAGGGTCCTTTCCATGTGAGCACACTATTCTTTGCAGCATTGTACGCTTTGTAGATTTCGACTGATTTCGGTGCACGAGCCAGATATACAGCCATGTGAGCAAGATTGACCTAGAAAGCAATATGTTTGAAGCTTATCTAGAATAATGTACTGAATTAAATCTTTTGAGTCGCTGTGGGGGTCTTTTTCTCTAGAACCTCTTATAAGTAGGGACTTTTTGAATTATTAATAATAGGGATTGACAAGATAAACACACAAGTCGATCAAGTTTCATTGGCATAAAGCAAAAAATTCAAGTCAACCGCTGTTTGATAGGCAATGTATCCTAACAAGAAATTGCTTTAAAGAAAGCAAAAAGTCTCAAACATACTTAAGCTCGTCAGCCACGTGCTCCCCCTTCTATGTCAATCCACAGCCGGGCATATACATATTTATATTTCCTAGCTTAGAGTTTTGATATATGCTCTGGCACTTTATACTTGAAGAGGGTTAGATAAATAGCTTTAGAATGTTGCAGATTGTTTTTTTCTTCAGATTGTTTGTTTGCATAGAAATTTTTAAATTCTGTACTACCAATAAAATTAGGCAGATCTATTTTTTTAAAAATACAATATTTAGGTCCCTTCCGACAGCTTCAAAGTTTTATCGAAGGCTTTCGAGTCTTATTTAGAAACAATAAAAATTATCGTTTTGAAAAGTAGTTTTAGCAAAACCTTATGTTATTAAGTTAACGATTTTATTAAGTTATGATTATGTTAACGAATAAATAATGCTCTAAAGTGACAATATCGATATGCGAAAATACAAATAATTGAAAATCCTTCAATGTTGATGAGAATTCAGTCAAAACTAGTTTTGTTACCTCGCATTCTGGCATTCCAATAAAATGGCACGCCTGGTGCGTTGAAACAGCTTTTGACAGAGCTGAATTGTCTGCTATTCCTACAAGAAAACATTTTTTTGCTAAAAGAAGGCAGTTAGTTATTCAGCATTCATATTCGCTATAAAACAAACTCCGTGTAGAGATTGCAGTTATACTTAACATATTGCAGAATATGGAGATTTTTTTAAAGGAAAATCAACATAGCCCTTTTCTAATAACAAGCAGATTAAGACAAAATGTTGGAAGTACATAAGTATTTGTGTAGTCCTAGAAACACTGAAATGTTATTTAGATAACACAGTGCTTACAGTGAAGCTTGCCTGCTTGAATGAGAAATTGGAATATTTGAGGCTTAAATTGTTTGGGAAACCTGCCCTTCAACCAAATAACATGTGACCTCTCTGTCCGTAAATTAGGTCTTACCTATTCAACTTGTTTGTAATCGTGAAATATGAATTTCTCATCGGTTTTGCAACATTTTCAGCAGTTTAAGCAACATTGCAAGATCATAGAAGAAATACGTAAATCACAAACCAATATCTTCACTCGCTATTCGTATCATTCTTCTTGCAATATACAACGGATCCTCTCCACCAATCAGCATTCGCGATAACCAATACAGGGCAGCACTGTCATCAGAGCCTCTTATTGATTTATGAAAGGCTGATATCAGGTTGAAATGCTGCTCCCCCTTTTTGTCGTATAGAATATGGTTTCTTTGCAGTATCGAAGAGACATCAGAAACTTGTATGCAGTTGTTGTCATTATGGGACTTTTTCATATTAATTGTCATTTCAAGTCCATTCAATGCACTTCTAGCATCCCCGTCAGAAAGATTTGCAAGGGCTTCTAATGCGTTTTCCAAGATGAACAGTCTTGAGGCTTCACTATAAAAATAAAATTAATTTTTAGAACAAGGTGCAAAACACATTTACTTTCATATTTCCCGCTTCAATTTTATATTTTTCAATTTTTTGCTACTAGTGCATTCATGCTTGTTAATAAATATTGAAAAAGACCATCTACCGAATGCTAGAATGAAATAAAATCACAAGATTCATTAATATACTACAACTGAAAGCCAATAAAATTGATAACCTAATTCGAATGAAAAAGCTGTACCAGACTGTTCGCGGGGAACGCGCATTAAAAAGAATCTGCCGTATAATATTCCGCGCACAGTATTTGTTTATCTGGTCTTTTTTCCCACGAATATACTACCATTTAAACTTCTGACTTCTGATAAAAAGAAAAAATAAATAATACAAGTTCTCTTTGAAAGCCTTTGCTGCAAATTCCGCGCACAATTTCACGGGAAAGTTCGTTATCCGCAAATTTCAAAAATATTGTTCTGGTGTTCCCCGCGCCGAAAAATACTTAACAGTCTGGAAGCTGTATACATGAAAGGAATCGATCTGTATTTCCTTTGCATTTGGTTTGCTTGTTGCTGAAACTAAGATTTTATTATTTATGCTTGAGAAAGCTAGTTGAGCTCACCCTGAGCTGAAAATTTCACGTGTAAACTACACACAACTATATACATAGATATATCTGATTTGCCTTCATACCATTACAATAACTTAGGCTATGAGCCAGGATCACACTAGGATAACTGGCTTAAGCATGAACATCCATCTTGCCTATGCTTTTAAAACCATAGAATTCAATAGGCATCAAATCTGTAACAAACCTCACAATCATTAAAAGTGGGCAACCAATTCTAATCAAGAATCGTCAGTTTTCCCTTACTGCGAAAAGAATTAAACTTTTTCTATCTTTTAATTCGCAAATTTGAATTTTTGCAGATCGGCACAAACCTTGAACATTTCTCTGGAATCTCTTGTACAATGTTCCCCCCGATCCCTTCCACTGCACGTCTGAGTATCTTCATCAAGCTCTGAACACTATGTTTCTTTAGCACAATAACTTTGCATCTGCTTAGTAGAGCACCGTTTACTTGAAATGAGGGATTTTCTGTTGTGGCTCCTATAAGAGTTATTGTCCCATTCTCCACAAAAGGTAGGAAAAAGTCCTACAAAAAATTATAGAGAATTACAAAACTGCATGGATGCTTTTCCTGCAATTCAAGATCAATAACTCCATTAAATACAACTTAAATTTTTGTTTATTGTTGCTTCTAGCTCTTGATCGTTTGATTATTATTTCATGAGCAATAAATAATAAACCTTGCATATGCACATGCTTACCAACAGCAACTGATAATAGCTTTAAACTAGATGTAAAATTTTAAAACTATCAACAGAAGTTTTTATAATTTTTAAAATTATAATATGCTTATTAAAGGAATATCACTTTTGTTGAAACTAGTTAGAGGCACGTTTGGTATTTGGACAAGACATGTGACAATCAAAGTCACACTATATTTACATTGGGACAATCTAAGTGAGCCCTCTTTCTAGACAAAAAGTTGAGATAACAAATAGGATATCCTTCAAAAAATTGCCCAAAACATTGTTTAAGGAATCTATTAGCACATTGCGTATTATGAGAGCCTTCTTTTCTTAACAAAGGATAATGAAAATTTTTTGAAAATTGCATTCATTGCCATTCTGGGCATTTAATTTCCAGGAAACTAAAAATTATCTGATAATGAATACCCTGTTAGGAAAAATCTGAATTATTTCCTTAAAAAATTTAAGGAGAAAAAACCATTCTATTACCTGTTGAAGTTTGTTGAATCGATGGATCTCATCAATAAAAAGAATTGTTTCTTTCTTGAACATGGAATATTCATTTTTGGCAATTTTAATAGCTTCTTTTACATCACTCAGACTTGATGCGGTGGCAGAGAGTTTTACCAATCTCTTCAAGGGGTTGGTTTTTGATCTGCTTCCAATGATATTTACAAGACTTGTCTGTGGTCAAGATTTCAAATTTGTTATATAGTGAAAAATAAGGCACAAAGTTGGAGCTCACTCTAAATATATGGGAAAAATATTTAGGTAATATGAAAAATGCTTATATGATACCAAATAAACTTTGGTTGTCTTAGAATTAGAGTACAGAATGCTTATTTTGAAATGGTTTTTTCAACATCTAGTGTACCAAAGTGCTCACTTCTTGTAATGAATATCCTCAACTGTATTAAATTATGGATCTTATTTTTTAATGAAGCAACTTATCTAGAAGAATTATAAAAGAAAACATATTGACCCTGTGCATATATTACTACATATCTATTCATCTCTGTTGTAAACTTGTTTTAGTCCATATACTGCATTTTTCAAAAAAGAGCTTTAGTGTAAAAAAGCTCAGAATATTTGCTTTTATGTCCTTGATACTCATAAAAAACACAGTTTTAATAATGCATATTCCACAGGTGTGAAAACACATACTAAGCTTTGGGGTCCTACAGACCAAAACAAGTTGCAGAAAGCAGCCATGTTACTGATGCTGCTCAATCATCCAAGCATTCAAATGCAGATAAGGAGCTTTATCATCCAAACATTATTAAGATACAAAAGGTAGAGAACATTCAGAATTTAAAAATCATTTAGATACATACTGATGTGGCTTGTATTCGTTAACAAGCTGATATTTTTCAAAAATTCTTTCAGTCTGTATGTTGACTTGCAAATAAAATCTAATTCATGCCCTTATTTGCTTGGATGCTATTGAATATGATTCTTCGGCTTTTTACATTTAGAGACAATGTGGAAATAATGAAGAAGAATTTGTCCAGATTCCTCATTACAGCAGTAGATTTCTCTCATTGCAAGGGTTGGTTTAAAGTATCATTGCTGCTTCTTGTCAAAAGTTGGCTCCAGTAGAGACAATACCACCAAATGTTTGTCAATACAATTTTTTACCAAGAACGAAAGCTAACAGGTAGATACTTTTACTTTTACCGTGGTGGCTTTTCCATAGAAAAGTAATTTTCTCCTTGAAAAGATTGATGCAATTTTGAGCTCAGGAAACAATACAGGGCCACCGGAGCCAGTATAAACAAGTGCCCCTTTTAGAAAAATAAATTGCATGTATTTTTTCAATGCAAGATATTCTGCCTTTAGAAACTAAGTAAAATAACATAACTCTGGACGTTATTGGAGGGCCATTCACTGAAAATTCCTTAAATTTTTACTTGGTCTTGATGCAAGAAGGGCAAGCTCCTGTGATGAACAAGATTAACTGCGAAGGAGACTGCCAGTTTCACAAGAAATTTCCTTAGTATGTCTTCAGCAACAAAATCATTAGTGAAAGGTCTGATCAAGTCCTCGGAGGGTACCGTCAGTTGGTCCAATGTATATTGTGTGTGTTCTTGAAAGTAAAAACTGGACCCCTATCTCTGATTCAGGGTTGAGTAAAATGTACCCTATTCTGTGCCTTTGCCAAAATTGTGTAGCTCTTTTCACTGAGAATATTCAAGCTTGAGCAGGAATTTTTGTTTAGATCAAATTTAGTGAACTCTGCTTTTCACTGAGCATGTTGAACCATTCTTTATCTTAAACTTATGTCTAGGCAAGTTAAAAAGCAGAGTTCACTAAATTTGATTTTAACAACCATCCCTTATAGTTCTTGACATATATATCAACAAAATCAGACATATGTAAAACTATAACTGCAACATATTGCTTGCTTCACAACATTGTGCTTAATATTTTTATGAAGAAATGAAAAAGTTATGTCCCTGCAATGAGTACATGCTAACAAAGACATAAATTTCTGCAAAACTAGACGTACTGCAAAATTTTTTGTACTTCAATATGCCATTGATTTACCTAAAAAATTATCTGCAACATCATATCGGTAAATTCCTGCCATTTTTGTGTTTCCTCTGACTGAATAAGAATGCAACGCTATTTTCAAGATTGTATGTCCCAGAATTATAGCTTTTTCAAGTTTTTTCGAACTCACATGTAATACGTTTGACCAACTGACTGAGCCCCCCGGGATCAATCTTAAGGAGAGTTAAAAACTTGTTGCATTCAAAAGACTGATGAGATAAACCTAATCAATGTTACAAATTAAATTTGCTATGGCAGTGAAGAATGTGCCCGCACTTTCAGCCGATTGTGTGAAGATGACTTAACCGTAAAATTTTGTAGCTTTTAAAAAATATTCCATGGAGGCAAACATATTTGTGTTTAAGTTGGAATGGGAGGCTGCAAATGCCAGGGGGGACTAAATTGTTTAAATATAGAAGTAAGAAAATTAATATCATTTTTCGAATGGGGCTGAAACTTTATTTTGAAAGAGATTGAGACTGAAGCTCGCTTTGAAGTATATAGAGACTAAGAATTCAAAAATTCCATTCAGTTCATATTTTGAGTTGGGTTTGTTGGTATGTTCCAATCAATCTGAACATTTGTTGAGTATAATGTGCCTGCCACAAGTATGAAACAAGGATGTGTGCCTGCTTCTTACCCAGGACCAAATCCACTTACAATGCAAATTATAAGGAAAATAAGTACAGCGAATTGTAATAGAGGTATAAATCCAGTGCCGTCCAAACGAAATTCATATTGAGGGGGGGGGTGCTGCCCATTGTATTCCTTCTCATTTAGTACACTGTTATAAAGGAAATATACTACAGTCTGACAATTATTGGAGGGGGCTGCACACCCCCCCCCCCCAGCCCCCCGGTTTCGACGGGCCTGAAATCATACATTGAAGAGAGATTTACACTCTCAAAAAACTTTGAAGGCCATGAGATGGGAAGCTATACAGTTAATTATGATCAAGAGTGCAGCGTGGTCTCTAAATGGGGTATATAGCCATGTCTGCTTTCAGCGAAGAAAAATTTCACTCTGTCCAATGTGTGTCATTACTTTTCTAAATGTCTAAATTACCGTGAAATCTGTACCATCTTTGCCACTTACTAATGTTTCGGAAAAAAATATCTGTGCCCTTTTTATTTGTTTTCTGAATCTGAATATCAATAAATGTAATGAAAATATTGGCATGGATAAATACCTTTCCACAACCAGGTGGACCCCAAAGAATAAAAGAAGGAACTTTTTCAGATGATAAAAGAGCTCTAAGGGTAGAATTTTCCCCGATTAGTTCGTCTTGACCAACATAATCATCAAAACTTATAGGTCTCATTTGTTCAGCCAATGGTACAGGTTTTTCAAGATCGATAGCCTTTGAATTAGTTTTCGCTGATGGAGAAAAACCTTTCACCTCCCTTTCATCCAAACCATTAGTCTTGACTAAAGCCTCCCCATTACTGTTCTGCAAAGAAAACTGCTTTTCACGCGCGGATTCACTATTTTTTCCTGGAAATCTGATTCGTTTTCTGTCTTCTTCATTCATTGGTTGTTTTGATAGGGCGGAGTACTTCCGTTTTCCTAATATGTCAAAAATTGATCGATGGGCATTAATGGGCTTGCATTTTTCCTCCTTTGCTTTTGTTGATTTCAACTTTGGAACAGCTTCCATGTTTTCATTCACATGCACCGATTTACAAAGAGTATCGTTTCCTGCAAGTGTCCCGACTTCGCAACCTGAAAGACTTTTAGCGGATGGCGAAGGAATGACTTTCTGATCTTCCTTTTCCAGGTCTACCTCTCTGTTAACTGAAGAAACTGTTTTATTGCAGCTTTTTGCAGAACAACAATCTTCTTTGTCTAAACATGCCTCCACATGATCATTTATCACTGATGCTGAAAATTTACCGTTACAAACCGGGCATTCGATGGGATCAGACATTTTCAAAACACAGGGGATCATTTCCCGCCTGTTTTTCAGCCTCAATCTCACTCTAGCCGTCATTTCGCGAAACACCAACAACTCGCTAGATTTCTCATCTCTAAATCTAGAGTAACATCTATCCGAACTTTCTTTAGCCCCCTCCCCAATTATTCTCAAAAATTCAACCTGCTTTTGATTTTTACCATGTTTAGCCCCCCAAAACGTTTTAGTCCCCTCAATCTGTAATATGCTCCGCGGGCCTTGCACCATGGTATTTAGCAACTCTTGCTCTCTGGTAATGAGAAAATGTTGGTAATCGTTTAATACCTGCTGCGTTTACCAAGTACGAGCATTTTCCAAAACCAGGAGCTAGGCTACGGAAAATGTTCAATCACAACCGCCGCGGCCTATGTAAAACGATTTTCTTTAAGTTAAGAAATTGGTCGTTGCTATCTGACAGCGGAATATCTTGAACTGACGCCTTTAAAACACGGGGAGAGGTAAAACCATTTATCAGCGTCTTTTCCGTACAATTTTCTTTGTCACACATTTTAGAGAAGCATCCCCATGGTACCTTTGGACATACTTTGATGAATACTTTCTACTTACTTACCTTCTTTGAAGCACATCTCTTGACGAAAAAGTTTATTGAAACAAGAGGTCAAGAATGTAAATCACAATTTCAAAAGAATAACTACTCGTGTGTTAGTTCGATTATTAATAAAAAAGTAAGACTATAAGCTTAGAAGTTCTAAAAGAAATATCATTTTTTTTCAAACTTCTTTTCTTCTTTAAGCACCCGAATTTATCATTAAATGATCAGAAGAAATCATATTTGAAGTTAGTTCAGCAATGTAAGAAGTATTTCTGAAAAAATTCACTACTTTTGAGGAGGCTCAATTTTTGATAAAAACGTAACGCTATAGGCGAAGGGAATTTCAATCTTGCAAATAGCGTACAAGATTTTCCCTAAAACAAGAGGATTTCTAGGGATTTTCAGATAAAACAATAAGATTTTTACAAAAAGTGTACGAGATTTTCTTAGAGTGATTTGCCCCTCGTCTATAGGTTCAGAAAATTCATCATACTTTTTCAAATTTATTTTCTTCTTGAAACACCTTAATTTTTTTAAATGATGAGATTAAAAGAGATTTGAATTTATTTGAGCAATGTTAGACCTATTTTTTACAAAACCAGGACGTTTTTGACGGTAAAATTTTTGATATAAATGTAATTCTTTTCTTCTTGAAACACCGTTATGTGAAATCACTTATTTTACAAGGCAGATAAGCATCATCAATCAAACCTTCTTATTTATCTCTAAATGATGAAAGTAAGCGAGAATTTAACTTAGTTCCGCAATTGTTGACGTCTTTGCGACAAAAAATTACGACTTTCTGCCGGTGTAAATTTTGACAAATAATTAAGGTCATAGGCTTAGGAAAATCGTGAAGTTTTTTAAATTTTTTTACTTCTTGAAACCTTCTTATTTATCTCTGAATGATGAAAATAAACGAGAATTGATCTTAGTTCCCCAATTATTGACGTCTTTTTGGCCAATGATTACGATATTCTTGTGCTGTAAATTTTGATTTAATAAGGTTATAGGCTTGGGAAAATCGTAAAACTTTTTTAAATTTTTTCTTCTTGAAACCCTCTTTTTTTATATCTAAATGATGAAAATAAACGAGAATTGAACCTAGTTCCGCAATTATTGACGTCTTTTTGACAAAAAATTACGACTTTCTGGCAGTGTAAATTATGACAAAATAGTAAGGTTATAGGCTTAGGAAAATCGTAAAATTTTTTAAAAATTTTTCTTCTTGAAACCTTCTTATTTTTCTTTAAAAGACGAAAATAAATGAGAATTGAACTTAGTTCCGCAATTTTTGACGTCTTTTTGACAAAAAAGTACGACTTTCTCGCGGTGTAAATTTTGACAAAATGGTAAGGTTATAGGCTTAGGAAAATCGTGAAATTTTTTAAAATTTTTTCTTCCTGAGACCTTCTTATTTTTCTCTAACTGATGAAAATAAATGAAAATTGACCTTGGTTCCGCAATTTTTGACGTCTTTTTGACAAAAAATTACGACTTTCTGCCGGTGTAAATTTTGACAAATAATTAAGGTTATAGGCTTAGGAAAATCGTGAAATTTTTTAAATTTTTTTACTTCTTGAAACCTTCTTATTTATCTCTGAATGATGAAAATAAACGAGAATTGATCTTAGTTCCCCAATTATTGACGTCTTTGCGAGAAAAAATTACGACTTTCTGGCGGTGAAAATTATGACAAATTAGTAAGGTTATAGGCTTAGGAAAATCGTAAAATTTTTTAAAAATTTTTCTTCTTGAAACCTTCTTATTTATCTCTGAATGATGGAAACAAATTAGAATTGATCTTAGTTCCGCAATTTTTGACGTCTTTTTGACAAAAAAGTACGGCTTTCTGGCGGTGTAAATTTTGACAAAATAGTAAGGTTATAGGCTTGGGAAAATCGTAAAACTTTTTTAAATTTTTTCTTCTTGAAACCCTCTTTTTTTATATCTAAATGATGAAAATAAACGAGAATTGAACCTAGTTCCGCAATTATTGACGTCTTTTTGACAAAAAATCACGACTTTCTGGCAGTGTAAATTATGACAAAATAGTAAGGTTATAGGCTTAGGAAAATCGTAAAATTTTTTAAAAATTTTTCTTCTTGAAACCTTCTTATTTTTCTTTAAAAGACGAAAATAAATGAGAATTGAACTTAGTTCCGCAATTTTTGACGTCTTTTTGACAAAAAAGTACGACTTTCTCGCGGTGTAAATTTTGACAAAATGGTAAGGTTATAGGCTTAGGAAAATCGTGAAATTTTTTAAATTTTTTTCTTCTTGAAACCTTCTTATTTATACCTATGAGATGAAAATAAACGAGAATTGATCTTAGTTCCGCAATTATTGACGTCTTTGCGAGAAAAAATTACGACTTTCTGGCGGTGAAAATTATGACAAATTAGTAAGGTTATAGGCTTAGGAAAATCGTAAAATTTTTTAAAAATTGTTCTTCTTGAAACCTTCTTTTTTTTCTTTAAAAGATGAAATAAATGAGAATTGAACTTAGTTCCGCAATTTTTGACGTCTTTTTGACAAAAAAGTACGACTTTCTGGCGGTTTAAATTTTGACAAAATAGTAAGGTTATAGGCTTAGGAAAATCGTAAAATTTTTTAAAATTTTTTCTTCTTGAAACTCTCTTATTTATCTCGAAATGATGAAAATAAAAGAGAATTGATCTTAGTTCCGCAATTTTGACGTCTTTTTGACAAAAAATTACGACTCTCTGGTGGTGTAAATTTCGACAAATTAGTAAGGTTATAGGCTTAGGAAAATTGTAAAATTTTTTAAAAATTGTTCTTCTTGAAACCTTCTTTTTTTTCTTTAAAGATGAAAATAAATTAGAATTGAACTTAGTTCCGCAATTTTTGACGTCTTTTTGACAAAAAAGTACGACTTTCTGGCGATGTAGATTTTGACAAAATAGTAAGGTTATAGGCTTAGGAAAATCGTGCAATTTTTTAAAATTTTTTCTTCCTGAAACCTTTTTATTTTCCTCTAAATGATGGAAATAAATGAAAATTGATCTTGGTTCCGCAATTTTTGACGGCTTTTTGACAAAAAAGTACGACTTTCTGGCGGTGTAAATTTTGACAAAATAGTAAGGTTATAGGCTTAGGAAAATCGTAAAATTTTTTTAAATTTTTCTTCTTCAAACCTTCTTCTTTTTCTCTAAATGATGGAAACAAATGAGAATTGATCTTAGTTCAGCAATTTTTGACGTCTTTTTGACAAAAAAGTACGACTTTCTGGCGGTGTAAATTTTGATAAATTAGTAAGGTTGTAAGCTTAGGAAAATCGTGAAATGTTTTTAAATTTTTTCTTCTTGAAACTCTCTTATTTATCTCTAAATGATCGGAAAATGCGATAATTGAACTTCGTTCTTCATTTTTTGACGCTTTTTTGACAAAAAGTTAAAACTTTCTGGCGGTGAAATTTATGACAAATTAGTAAGGTTATAGGCTTAGGAAAATCGTAAAATTTTTTAAAAATTTTTCTTCTTGAAACCTTCTTATTTTTCTCTAATAGATGAAAATAAATGAGAATTGAACTTAGTTCAGCAATTTTTGACGTCTTTTTGACAAAAAAGTACAACTTTCTGACGGTGTAAATTTTGATCAATTAGTAAGGTTATAGGCTAGGGAAAATCGTGAAGTTTTTGAAATTTTTTTCTTCTTGAAACCCTTTTTATTTATCTCTAAAAGATAAAAATAAACGAGAATTGAACCCAGTTCCCCAATTATTGACGTCTTTGCGACAAAAAATTACGACTTTCTGGCGGTGAAAATTATGACAAATTAGTAAGGTTATAGGCTTAGGAAAATCGTAAAATTTTTTAAAAATTTTTCTTCTTGAAACCTTCTTATTTTTCTCTAATAGATGAAAATAAATGAGAATTGAACTTAGTTCAGCAATTTTTGACGTCTTTTTGACAAAAAAGTACAACTTTCTGACGGTGTAAATTTTGATCAATTAGTAAGGTTATAGGCTAGGGAAAATCGTGAAGTTTTTGAAATTTTTTTCTTCTTGAAACCCTTTTTATTTATCTCTAAAAGATAAAAATAAACGAGAATTGAACCCAGTTCCCCAATTATTGACGTCTTTGCGACAAAAAATTACGACTTTCTGGCGGTGAAAATTATGACAAATTAGTAAGGTTATAGGCTTAGGAAAATCGTAAAATTTTTTAAAAATTGTTTCCTCTTGAAACCTTCTTCTTTTTCTCTAAATGATGGAAATAAACGAGAATTGATCTTAGTTCCGCAATTTTGACGTCTTTGTGACAAAAAATAACGACTTTCTAGCAGTGTAAATTTTGATAAATTAGTAAGGTTGTAAGCTTAGGAAAATCGTGAAATGTTTTTAAATTTTTTCCTCTTGAAACTCTCTTATTTATCTCTAAATGATCGGAAAATGCGATAATTGAACCTCGTTCTTCATTTTTTGACGCTTTTTTGACAAAAAGTTACAACTTTCTGGCGGTGTAAATTTTGATCAATTAGTAAGATTATAGGCTAGGGAAAATCGTGAAGTTTTTGAAATTTTTTTCTTCTTGAAACCTTTTTATTTATCTCTAAAAGATAAAAATAAACGAGAATTGAACCTAGTTCCCCAATTATTGACGTCTTTGCGACAAAAAATTACGACTTTCTGGCGGTGAAATTTATGACAAATTAGTAAGGTTATAGGCTTAGGAAAATCGTAAAATTTTTTAAAAATTTTTCTTCTTGAAACCTTCTTATTTTTCTCTAAAAGATGAAAATTAATGAGAAGTGAACTTAGTTCAGCAATATTAGACGTCTTTTTGACAAAAAAGTACGACTTTCTGGCGGTGTAAATTTTGAAAAATTAGTAAGGCTATAAGCTTAGGATAATCGTAAAATTTTTTAAAATTTTTACCTCTTGAAACCTTCTTCTTTTTCTCTAAATGATGGAAATAAACGAGAATTGATCTTAGTTCCGCAATTTTGACGTCTTTGTGACAAAAAATAACGACT